CCTTGCTACTTTTCAGCGATGTCCGCAACCTTGTGGTACTTGGCTGCAGTCTTGCAGAGACTGGCGGTCGTGCCAACGCACCAGCAATGGCTGGAAGGTGCAGCGCGTCATGAGGTCGAGGAGGCAGAGAGTGCCAGATGGTAGTGCTAGCAGACCATCTCGTCACTTGCATGTGGAGTGATTGGGTGAGTGGAGTGATGTGATGGGGTTGTTGTCTTTGTGGCCGAACCCGAGCTTTCATGAAACTCGCTGCGGATGAAGGTCTGGCAGGCAGGCGTAATTGCTGTGCCGGAGAGAAGTGACCATGTTGATGGGAGTAAAGCCAACACACACACACACACACACAGACCTAAACAATTGAACAGCTCCAGGCGGTTGTGTGCAGACAACCGCCTCTTCCCCTCGTTATTCAAGTTTGCAGTCTGGAGAAGACGTCTGACCTTGAGGACGCCCACCAAGATGTTCATGTCCTGAGCCTGAGTCGAGGGCGGCAGGCGCCGGGGTTGGCTGGCTGGGAAATGAGCGAGCTGCTGCTCCGCGCGAGCTGGCCACCACAAGGAGCTTCACTTGGAGGTTTGGCGATTCGGCTTCAGTGTGTCACCATCTTCATCGGGAAAAGATGCCAAGGTGTTCTGCGCCTACTTGATGCCCTTCTGCTCATCAGAGCTTTTCCAGAGCCTCCGTGAACTCCGCGTAGCCCAGAATTCTCGTGGACAAGGAAGGCCGTGTTCGGAAGGCTTTGGTGCACAAAGGTGCTGCCAGCTTGCGAAGAAGAGAGGCTGGCCAAGCATCTCCGCCAAGTCTTGTCAGAACCATCCCATGCGGCACAGCATCATTGCCACCCAGGAAGATGAGGTAGGAGAAAGGCAAACAGGTGCCGGCGCTGTCCTTGACGAAGGTCTAAGCGCCGGGCTGTCGCGTGGCGAAAACCCTTCAGCACCGAGTTCGTGGTGAGGTCAAAGGCAAAAGCTACCGACGCAATGAAGCGACGCGTTCTTTAAAGCAGATTTCCATGATGCGGTCGGTACCGCTGGCTAGCCCAGACTCTGGTGCCATGTCCCTGGATTATCCGCTGAGGTGTGTGGAAGCTTCAAAATGGGTCCAAAGGTGTTCCCTTCGGCGTCCGTTTTGCTCCCGAAACCCTCTTTCGGGTTTCGCGGCCCTTTGGCAAAGCAGCGCCAATCGCAAAAGCGCCGCAGGGCATACTATTCAAAGCTACTTGGACGCGGACATCTGCGCCAAGCTCCTCAAGGACCAGTGCCATGGCACGGGTGAACCCCTGTGTGAAAACAAGTCCCAGATCCATCCTAGCCCCAAGTAGCCATCCACTCGTACCCTGCTAAAACCTACCAGCCAAGCCACTCAATCCAAGCAAAAATTTGCTTACCGCATCTTACCGCGCTCAACCTCAACCTCAGCAGTTTGCGATCTAGCGACCTCAACACACCCAAGCAACTAGACTTGTCCGGCCTAGGTCCTCAGACCTGCCCAAAGCCCGCTAAAACCCGCCTACACCTAACAAAGCTCGCGCTACAACATGTTTACCACTCTTGCTTCGCAACCCCAAAACAAAACTAACTACACCGTCCCCAGACGCAACCCCCACACGCACCCAAAATCCACCCCGATTCATGCGCAGACCCCCGTGGCGTGGTGTGCGTAACCCACCCACACACCAACCCATGAATCACATCTAAAAAGTGAAACCTGCCCCCAGGCGCAAGCCTAAACTGATCCAAGCCAGCCCAATATCATCCCTAAGGCAACCCTACACCAACGCGAAACCATTCGTACGCACCCTCAGACCTGCCCTAAACCGACCTTTACAATCCCGAAACCGTCCTGGCACCTTCGATTTCAAAGCAAAGCCACACTAAAAAGCCTCATAAACTCACCCGCGCTCCCTCCATCCTCCCCACAGACCCGCCTTGAACCCATCCGAACGCAACCCGCTCGAAGAGAGGCCCGCCTGCCCCGCCCAACGGGAGGCTGCAACGGCTGAGACATGTTTTTTGTTGGATCAAATTATGTTTTTTGTTGGAGGCGTCAAATTTCATCGTGGTTTTTGGCGTGCTGTCTGTTGGTTTCCCTTGGACGCCAAGAGTTCCGTCAGCTGTCTCAGCGTTGGCTGAAGGGTTTGGATAGCAAGCCGATGGTTGACCTCCGAAGCCGATCCCCAGTTTTGAGAAACCTGAGGCGGTTTTCCACTGGTACCCCAGGTGTTGCGGCTTTGCAACGGCCAAAAGGAAGTCAAAATGGCGGTGGGAGATTGAGTCTTAGTTTTAACTGCCGCTTGGTAACAGCAACACTCAACATTTGAAGTGAAGCAGTTTCAAGATGTGGTTTTTTCCATGGAGAGGGCTTCATGGGCAAAACCCATTTGGCACCAGCAGGGATTTACTGGAATATACACACATACCAACTGGAGGATTTTGTGAATGAGCATTCCACATGGGACTTGGGAGTTCGATTCGCCAAGTTAGTGAGTTGTAACAGTGAGCGTTCGGGTTCAACCCTACTAACCCTTAGTGGAATTAACCTGTTTATAGGTGGGTGTGCTAACCACTAACTTGGTGAACTTGGCGAATCCACCTCTAACGGGCAATCTAATCATGGCAAGGCAACGGACACTGGCCAGGAGAAGGAGAATCAGGAAGATCAGGAAGATCAGGAAGATCAGGAGAATCAGGAGAATCAGGAGCCTGGCACGTACGTGGAGATAGACTACATTGATGCTTGCACTTTCCAGTCTCGCTTGGTTACCTTTGATTTCGGCTGAACATAGGCCCGTGAAGTTCTTCCATGCCCTTGCATGCAAAGGTGTATGGTTGCTTGCAAAATGATGGCTAGGCCTTTTTGGTTCAGAAGCCTGTCGAATTGATATGCACTTGTGCATTTGTGAAAGGACCCTCACAAGTGGGTGCTTATGTGTCCAACTAGGACCCCAAAAATGTGCGGCGTTGCTTTGGTTTTCCCTTTGAAACCCCAAAAACGGGTTCCCTTGAAAGGAGCACCCTGCAGCTATCCTTTGTGTCAATCAGGCTAGGTCCTTAGGTCTGGCAAGCTTTGGCAAAAGGTGCATTTGAATTGTCTGCCCAGCTTTCGTATTCGGAACGGGATCTCAGGAATCTTCCCAGACCTTCAATTCAATGCTGGCGGAGAAGGCGGACAGTTTCACGACTCCGCCCACGGCTCGCACACATCGACGTCACCTGAAAAAGCAGCTCGGTGAGGCCAAAAGGGCAACCAGGGTGACAGAACAATGGGGCTGTCTTTGAGGGTGCCCCCTTTTTTGTGGTTTGAAAGGGAAACCAAACAGAAAGCTAACCTTCTTGGTGGGGTCTCATAAAACTGACACACCCAAAGCACTGTCAGATGCATGTCGAAGTCGAAACACTTCAGCTTTGGCTGTGTGAACATATCCAAGAGGCGTACCTGTTTATGTGTGGCACTGCCTTCAGATGCCAAGGCTAAACAATTTTCTGGCCATCATTCCGCCGAACGAGAGCGCCTTGAGAAGGGAGGTCCTGAATCGCAGATTGGACATGCTGGCTCGCAGGTGGCAGCAACCTGCGACAAAATGACACGATGATTTTTTGCTGCGTATAAGTGTTTAGCTCCGACTTGTGCACGACCAGCCTTGCGACAGGTAAACCCTGCCGAGGTGTGTCCCACAGTTGCTAACGACAACTGGCACATGTGGCCTCTTTTTGCGTTGACCTCTTTTGCCAGCCATGGATTTTTGAAGTCGACTGCAAGTCCATGGGATGTACGCCCATGTTACCGAAAGGCTTTTGCAACTGACCAGTTCTTCCTGCCATTCAGAGACGAAGGCCATATTAAAACGAAAACCATCCCAGTCTTTTAGGTAAATACGAGGTAGAGGGAAAACAGTGGGTGACTTTTAACCATGGGCACCTACTTGCCAAGAACGAGCGTCCAAGTAACAATGGACAAAGCGGATGACGGAGTCAAATAATTAGATTTGCCGACACTGAAAAGATCTTGAACAACTGTGGCGACTGTTTGTGGACGGGGCAAAGGATTCCAAGCGGGTTGCCCTGCTGAAACATCGTACAAATTCCAAGTGGACTGCAGCGGTGCATCTCCGGACACGTTGACCGTGGTGTGATTTGTCGGGTCCAAACCCCAACTGTGACAGCCGCAGTTGCAAAATCGCTGGTTTTTTTTTTCTCCACGCAACCGTGGAATCTGCTGAGATTCCTCCAGAGCGCATCGGTTGCTTGACAACTGCAGAGTTTTTGTCGCACAGTTGATCCGCTTGCGTGGGCACTGATTCAAACGAAGGGCGCAATAGCTTTTCGATGCTCTAAGCGGCTGACGAGAAGCTTCAATCAAGAAGGTGTTCGAGCACAACGCCTGACATGTTTTACATGGGCTACTTCCCCTTCGGTTGCAAGCAGCAACTTGTTGGATCCACGTGAGGTTTGCCATTTTATCTGGAGAACGCCTGGTGGAATGATCCAAATGCACCTTTCCGACATGGCGATGTTTCGTGAGGTCGCGAAAACCCCTGGAAATCCAAACTCAGTCGCAAGAAGGCTGCCAATTTGAGAGACGGCAGTCTCTATGGATGCGGTTGACTCCTCGCTTGCTTTTACAGTGGGTATTGTCAAATGAGCAAACTCATGAAGTTCATCAGAAAGGGAACGGTCCTCCAGGATTGTCCGAAATTTAACTAACATAGTGTTCGTCATTGTGCGTGCAATTTAGTAGGTAGGTTGTAACCAGGGCAGTAAGTGGAGAAACAAGAGTTGGTTCATGTGTTCGCCGATGTTATCCCATGGGTACAACCTACTTGCTAAGAACAAGCATCCAAGAAACAGTGGACAAAGCGGATCGATGGAGTCAAATAACTAGATGAGCCGCCACTGAAAAGATCTTGAACAACTGTGGCGACTGTTTGTGGACGGGGGCAAAGGGTTCCAAGCGGGTTGCCCTAATGAAACATCGTGCAAAGGGTTCCATGTGGACTGCAGCGGTGCAGCGGCCGTGGTGCGATTCGTTGGGTCCAAACCCCATCACCGACGACACCCGCCGTTGCATAAAAACACCTGCGCGGTCATGCTTTTCCACGCACTCCCGCAAAATGTGTGGTTTGCTTGGCAACTATCTGAAGCAACCTGTACAAAGTACGATGTTGCGTTGGCAAAGTGTTTTGGGAGAGTGGTAGTCTTGGCAACACCGCAGCGTGTTTGTCTCACAGTTCATCTGCTCAGCAGCTTGCACTGCTTCAATCGAGAAGGTGTTTGAGGAAAACACCTGACCTTTTCTACATGGGCTACTGAAACTACTGTCTCCTTTTGGTTGTAAGCGGCAACGTGTTGGATCCATTTAGGGCGAGTGTCCATTTGAACCGGAGTGTTTGCTAAGTAGAGATACCGCAATGCCAGGTGGAATGGTCCAAAGACACCTTTGGCCTCTCCAAGCGCGAAAGATGTGCGCTCGCTACATCGATTGCCTGGAAACCTCCCGTCTCCTTTCTGGGGATGGATCTATACCCGCGTTGCCAATCTGGGAAAACGTGCTGCAGCCGCTCCGCTCCATGCCTGCGACGTGAAATTGGTCACAGTGTCCAGTTGCTCACTTCGGGGGCATGTGCAGAGCCTCTCAAAGTGGTTGAACCCCCTTTTTGATTGGCATTTGAACCGTGAAGAAAGTCGGAATTGGCCAAAGGGGTGAAAAGGGGACCCCATATGGCTGTGGGTCAAAACCAATGGGATCCCATTTTGGGGTAGGTGCACCACCCATATCAGTCTATTTTAGTGGGGATTGGGATGTTCACTGGGGATGCGGGATTTTGACCCATAGCCATATAAACAAGTTGAACTCCTCACCCATCATTGCCCCGCCGGATTTGCAACCGATGTTGCACCGTCCACTTGCTCGAAGCAACACATGTTCCATGATCAGCCCGAATCAGCATGCTTTCCAAAGTCAGCTCGAAGCCACACCCTTTTCAACTACATCCGCTGATGGATGCTAGCGCCCAGCTTGGACAGTGATGGTTCTTCCCGCTCAAAGCTCGCAACTGCCAGCTACGAATATACAGCAACAGGGCCGCTTTGTTGATTGTCCCCCTTTTCAAAGACTCTTCCATCTGGCATCGGCCACTTGTCCTGGTTTCGGTGCATCCCTCATTTGACCTGCGGTCTCCGAAGTTTCCCGCCCTTCGCGCATTTGTGCTGTGGCTGCTCCGCTGATTTGTTCCGAAAAAGCTGGTCTCGAGTCACGTAGGTTATGATTATGCCAATGGGTTTCGCTGAAATCGGTCAACGCATAGCTTGTTGGAAAAGCGCGCAACTCAAAAGGACCATTTCCCCTCAAATGGTACAACATTTGAGTGAGAAATCTCCTGAGACACGGGGAGTTTGTCACCATTTAGCCCATCCCCAACTATCAGACTCCAAAGCCAAAACTACCAGAATCACCCATCCCTCAAAACCATCTCTCAAAGCCAAAGCAGAGAACCAAACATGTTTCTTGTTTGAACTCAACTGCCAAGAGAAACGTCGGCCGTCGCCGTCTCTTCCCTTAAAGACCAGCACGACGCCTCCCGTCGCGCACTGCGCGACGCCTCCCGCGCGAGGTGACAACGTGGCGCCCTTGGCGCTCAGCTTCACACCGGCGGCGGCGGCCAGAGAGGTGGCGCTGGACCTTCAGGACTGCGATCGAAGCTCGCCGAGTCGTGGAGCGGTCGTCCAGAGATCCGCGGGTGAGAGCTTGACTGCTATTGGGCAACGGATCTTTAGACTTTCACTTTTTTGGCTGAAATCAAGGGTTTTCCACTAAAGCCACAAAAAAATATTATATTTGTTGCAGAGGGTTCAACAGCAACCAAGGTTTCACCAGAATATCGAACGCAGGTTTTAGTCCATGTTTCCATTTACCCATTTTGGGGGTACCGCATTTTTGACCAGCCAGATTCTTCCTGATGACTGTAAATTTGCAGAGTAAATCCACATAGGCACCACTTGGACGTAGGCACGGGCCCTGTCTTTTTCCCCAAGCCCTTTGTCCATCCAAAAGCCATCCGTATGGGTATTGGTCAAAATCATACCAGGATATGAACCGCAGGCAGTCCATGTGTCCATTTACCGAACGGGCAACCCATGTTGGGGTTCTCCGATTTCTTGCCAGCCAGGGATCCCTTTCCGGTTGGCTCCCAGCCATCCGGTTCAACATACCTTTGTAGTGGCTTTTAGTTGGCGTAGTGGGCGGATTTCCGAGTTTAACCCGCAAGTTCACACTGAGCATTTGAAGGCAGCCCAGATGAGGGATCCCTTTGAGAGGGCCCCCTCTTTCGGGAGGAGAATGGGAGGTCGGCATTAGTTCGGTGGTCTGCTCTTGTTTTCACCCGAGCTTTTAGCTGAGACGGAAAAAGCCACAGGATGTTCATCGATACTAATGTCTTCCAGATTGGGAGTCCATAAAGTTACTATTTGAAATAGGTTTAAGATTGCGTAGAATTTGTTAGGGTCCCCCCAATCCCAATGGGACTAAGGCTCTAAGTTAGGGGGCTACACTGAATTTCCTTTTGGGGGGGTGGGGAGGTGGGGGGAGTTGCTTGCTTCCCTTTCTCTGGAGGGGCTGTCCCATTAAAAAATCAACCAACCCAAGAAGAGTCTGGGGTGAAAGCAGGTTGAACCACAAGACATTTGGTATCCAGAGGTGACCAAGGGTTGTTGAATGATTTAGAAATGAAAGCTTCAGTACCCATTCGATGATTCGAGCACAACCTTGCAGGTCTCTTGCGTTTGCCTGGGTGGCCTCAGACGGTGCCATGCATTTCACCGCGCGATGAACTTGAATGCTCAAATAGACAATATGTTTGAAAACTGCTCGAATATCCCCAACAGGAAGCCCCCGTGGTGCCACGAAACCGAAACCTTCAAGAACCTTCAAGAACCTTCAAGAACCTTTTCCGTTGAGGAACCTTCAAGAACCTTCAGGTTGAAACCTTCAAGAACCTTCACTCGAAACAGCTCGCCGCAGAGTTCATGGTTTTTCTTCTTTTTTTTCCCCGTCTAGGGGGCGCAGATCACCTTCAACGAGCCCCTCTTCCTCATCTCCGGCTCTGAGGCGTCAGCTGAGTGACGTGAAAAACCTTGCGAGGAGGGGCATTCCCGGGCGGGGTTGGGGGGTTGGGGGGGTGGGGGGGGGGGGGGGTCCGGGAATTGCTGGTGGGGATACAAAGCTGGTGTGTAGTTTGTTCAGCGCTCTGCGATTTTCTTGTTTATTTCACCCGAGCTTTGGGGGGAAATGGGCGACGAAAGAAGCCATAGAATGGTAGTCGATCAGGTGATACCGTACCAATGTCTCCCATGGGAGTTTCTTTTTCTTTTCTATTTTTGTTTGGGGGGGAGGAGAGGGAGATTTTGTGGGGGCATGTTTTTTTCCGGGGTCCCGAACATCTGTTGCTTTAGTTCTATTATCATCACACATCATCAATATGATGCTCACTCAAGTTCCTGGGCATTGGTCACTTTCCGGTTTGGCCGATCCCATGGCCATTCGAGGCCCGGCTCATGCGCTTGGACTCTGCCTCTGGCGAGGTGGACACCTACCGCGAGGCCTTGCCCCGCGGCATTTTTCCCTTAGATTTTGTCACATTTGCTGGAAAAAGACGTTCCTCAAACGGACAGTCCTAAGGTGGTGGGTGTTTGGATCGGTGAAACTGTAGGGGAGTAACTCCGTAGGCCTTATTGGTGTGTCTTTTTAGGGGACCCCAAGGATGGTTTAGGTTTTCCTGCTGAGTTTCCTTTCAAACCAAGGGGTAAAAGAGAGCGCCAACCCGAAATGAGGGTTCTCAAAAAGTGGTCCCCTCAAGTTGTTGGCTCGGTTTCCCTTGAAGTACCAACCACAGGGCCACCATTTTGAGAAAGCCACAAATCGGGTTGTATTTTAGGGAAACCCTTTTGGAGTTGATGTAAAGGGAAACCATTAGGGATTCCTGCATAGTTTGACACATGCCCTTTCTGTCGCAGCAATGGCCAGAGTACTGGGAGTCTACTCTTCCTTTGTGGCACAGGAGTAGCACCCATAGGGACCTTTGCGACCATGTACCAACAATCCGCTAGGGTTTTAACGGCGCCACATGGCTTAAGGGAATTGGCAAACGGAGGCCGGACGAGGGTCAGTTAGAGAGGCCCAATCAACTGACGAGCTGGTTCCGAAGATCCATAGCAATCCAATGGGAAGGTTCTGGCCGATGCAAAATGTTCACCTGGTCACTACTTGTTGGTACCCACCCTTAGGCTTTTAGGCGTTTAGTGTTTAGTGAAGTTTCCACTAAGCCACTCTAAAAGTGAGACTTTTAGCAATTTAGCAGGGGATCTGAGGGCAGCCCAGGTGACTATTAGTGCCCTGTTTCTCGGAGGTATATTCGGCAAACGCTGCGTGATCTTTGGCATTTCCTACGTAGCCACAATAGGTGTGAGATCCTGAAAGAAACAAAAAAAGAAAGGGGTTGCCCAAAGTCAACGATTTTTTGGGCAATGAGGAACCATGGAGAGACCCCACGACAGAAGGCTACAAAGGCCAGCGGACACATTTTGTGGGTACTATACTGAATTGGATTGGGACTGAATTCGGCTCTGTGAAAGTTAGAAACAGTTCGGCCACGTGGCAAGCTCCCAGAGGCCGGCGCTACTCCCAAAAAAAATGTGCGTTCAAAAACGAGGTCAATGAGTCCAAACAAAGGACGAGGCGGGAACACCCGACCGTTCAACCATGTAGCAAATAGCTGCCGTAGCTTACATGAGATTTGGGCTGGGACTCCTTAAACCCGGTCAAAGTGAATATGGCCAAATGTAAGTGGCTGGCAAGAAACACACAATGGTTGTTTTGAAGAGATCGATGTGTGTGCTTGTTGTTAGCATTCAACTTGCCGCAATCTACACTCCTTGCGTCTCAGAAACCTGCTCCATTCCAGAGCCCATGTTGGAGGCAGGCCTAAGCTACGCATCAACTGGTCAAAATGCGGCAACTTGTCCACTCCGAATGTGGCAAATGGCGTTCACGAACCTCCGGCGGTGTTGTTGGTTGCGATGTGATGCGCTCTGTTTGGGCTTTCCGCCTTCCCTTTTCCGCCCACCCGCAGGTGCAGAAGCTGCATGAGGCTCAGCAAGCCCTTTTGGGTGTTTTGGGAAGAGAGATAAGGATAGGAAGAAGGCGAAAGAACTTCTGTTGGTTTCCTTTGGGGTTGAAGCACCGAGCAAATGAGAACGACCGCAGGCAGAATGAGACAAGAAAGGCCCGGCAACTTTTTGGCCGAACTATGTTTCGCGCAAATTGCTTTCCTTTGAAACGCCAAAACGGGTCCCAAGTTTTGGACGGACGCAGCTGTTGGATCCTTTGAACCACGTTCAGTGCTGGCTGGGGCTCCATGCTGGTTGCGGTTGAAGAAAGGAAGCTCTTGCCATTTTCAGGGGTGGCCTGTGTGAGGAAGCACAGAGGTCAAGAATTGCTGATGTAGCTATGCTTGCTTGATGTGTTTGCAATGGTCGTGTGCTTCCTTTGGTTTCGTGTTGCTGTTTCTGGTGTGCTTCTGTGTTGTGTTGATGTATCTCTTGTTGGTGTCTTGACCACTGTTGTCATTTGAATACTGTATGCGTGTTGTTGTGCAAGCTGGTGTGCATGCTGTTGCTTCTTCTGTGTTTACGCTTCTCTGCCTTTCCGCCCTTATTTAAAGTCAGCCCCAGTCACTTGGAATAGTCGCTTGTCTCCAAAGGCTTGCTTCGCTCTAAACAACATGCTTGGAAACCATTCCATCTGACCGAACATCGCTCATAATTATTGCATAGTTCTTGCCACTTCTTGGACTATGAACAAATAAAAGTGGCTTGTAAGGTTGACATTTGCACAAGAATATGCATGCGTTTGGTTGGCCAAGCCCTACTCATGTCTGTTTTCAGAAAGTCAGATTGCTGCGAAACAAGCACGCAGATACTGCATGTTGATTGCGCAACGACTTGCGCCCTCTGATTACTCAGTGAGGGCAACTGGTGTTTGCGGATTTGCACAAACATATGCAGTTGTTGGCTGGATCACAAAGCTGCGACTGCTTGCACGTGCCTGTCAAATTGCTCAGAAGAAGCATGCGCACTGTGCATTTTGATGATGCTGCTGCACCCTCTGCCGGCAGTCTGTGTTTGTGGATCACTAAATTACGTGGTTTTGGGGTTTACCAGAGAGCTTCAGCACGAGCACACACACACACACATATTGCATATTGATGGCGCTTGCAGCTCATTTCGATATGAAGGCGCACTGCTGCAGCAGTTCTGGAATATGCATAAGTTGCTTGTTCTCTTTACTTTGAGCTTGGATTCTTTTTTGAGCCCTTCAGGTTGCTCAAGAATCAGTGGCATGGCAGCACATCTCAGGAAAACAAGGCAAATCCAGAGATAGCACCATGACCCGAAGCAAGATACTTCTCGGAACGGCACTCTTCACAAGAACGATCTCAGAATTTCTGAAGCGCGGTTTCCTGAGGGAGAACGTATGGAGAGCACTTGCTACGGCGCCCATGAATAAGCGAGCACATAGTGCATTCTAATGGCGCAACTGTGCCACCATATTTTCATCTAGTCGCTGGTCTCGTCAAGTCTGAAAGCGAGTCAGGACTTTAAACAGCAGAAATCGATGTTACTTTCCGGGTTTGTGCTGTTTGAGTATTGGTTGATCAATACGACCGGAGTTGGGGTCAGAGATAGTGAACATCGCTAGTTTTAGACTGTGGAATTGGGAGAAAACTTCTTCATGGGCCAAATTATATGGTTGGACGTCACTTAGGAAGGCGTGTGAGTCTATATTATTCGGCAGGCGCATTTCTTTGGTTCGGCGAACGATGCCTCTGCCCAGAAGACAGGCCACACATGGAGACAGACTCGGTTTGGTGAATTTGGTCGGTTTCCGGGCTCCTGGAATTGACCAGCTATCCGTTTTCAATTTGATCTGGTTAAACCAGAAGCCATCCGTTTCCAGCTTGATATGGTTGCACATGCAAGCTATCCGTTTCCATTTTGATCTGGTTGCACATGGAACCTATCTGTTTCCATTTAGATTTGGTTGCACAAGGAAGCTATTTGTTTTCAATTTGATCTGGTTGCAAATGGAACCTATCTGTTTCCAATCAGAACTGGTTGCGCAAGGAATCACGAAAGTTCCCCAACCGGTTTTGGTTGGGCCCCACAAATTTTCGGTTCCGAAGCGAGTGGGGAGAAACCTGCTAGCCCCCCGAGGTCGCTGTCAATGTCCTCCACGGGTGCTGAAGTGGTGCCGTACTCGGCAGAGTTGACATGACTTAGCAAGCCCAGCCATCCGGTTCAACTTAGCTTTTTAGAGGTTTTTGGTTGGTTGGTTGGTTGGTTGGTTGGTTGGTTGGTTGGTTGGTTGGTTGGTTGGTTGGTTGGTTGGTTGGTTGGTTGGTTGGTTGGTTGGTTGGTTGGTTGGTTGGTTGGTTGGTTTTTTAGTTGTGTTTGGTTGGTTTTTAGTGGTTTGGGGTTGTTGTTTTAGTGGTTTTGGGTTGGGTTTTTTCTTGAAATATTCCAAGCAACTCAGTGCATCCCTCCCGAGCCATCCAGTCCGATCCAACACTTCGCATTCTTTCAGAGACGCAGGGATTGGCGATGTTTGCGAAGCCAGCAAATGGGAACTTCAAGCGTCGGTTAAGTCGGAGACATTTTTTGTGGGCCGCCGTTCAGTTTCTGTCAAAGCCATCCTTTGGAGCGGTCTGAAGAATCTGAGCAAATGCCTACAAGTGACGAGTTCGGGCAGATGGGGCGACTGCTTGGTCCATCAAAAAGCGACACACCCTGGGAAGCCCGAATGGTCCGTGGTCAATCACGAATGATACTTGCTAATTCAGACCTGATTTCTGATTGGAGGATTGTTGTTTAAAAATATATATATATATATATGCAGTGACTCTCCCGTAGGGGGATAACGTATTATTTCTCGACTAAGTTGTCTGTGTGTGCATGCGCATGGTTTTGGAGCTTGCGCATGCCAACCTCTCTGAACCATCCTTTGGAACTGGCAAATTCCTTTTGCCAACAGCCATTTCCAAATGATCTTGTATGTTCCTTGACACCATGTCTGGTTTTGTGGTTGCATTGACACCCACATTGTGCAGCCACTGGCTGGGAGGGAGGTGGGTGTCCCTTTGTTTTGGGGTAGTTCTTTTGCTTCGTCCCATGGGCAATTGCCTCCGACGGTGCAACCGTGCGGCCTCAATTGTTGGCGTACCTTGTTGCGGCGCCTGAGCCGCCACTTGCCTTCGCAATAGCCAGCCCATATGACAGAGGTTTCTACCCCTGATCCCTCGATTTTGCCTGGGGGTGACTCCACGAGGGACCAATCCATTGATGAAGTTCTTTCTACAGGGACAAGCAGACCCTTGCCCGAAGGACTTGACGACTCCTCGAAGCAAGAAGCAGCCAGTGGTGCCCAATTTTCTGAACCTGAGACCTGTGAATCCAAAGTCTTAGAGCTTGAAGATCTCCCGTCAATGCCGAGCGTTGCAGAGCTTACAAGATCGCCTACGAAGCATCCTTTGGAAGTGCCAAGCCCACATGCTGTCGCCGAAGCTTTGCTTGATGCAAAGTGGAAAAACTCGGGTTGCACTTCTTTGAAACTACCGTGGGAAAAGGGATGCCTCAGTTTGATTTTCGGCCAAAAACCCGCCGTGCAAGCCTTCCCACCGATGATTGATCGTGTGCAAGGTGGTCGCCTTGAATCAGCCAAACGTGCCACTGCAAAGCAAAGTGTCGATGCCTTTGTTGTTGACCATGAACCCGCAGCAGAAGCCAGCTTTGAGGAATCCGTGAGAAGATGGACCGCAATCATCATGGTCAACTGTTCAGCATCCTCGACAGGACGGTTAGTTGCTGCATGTGAAAGTCACGGTGCTAAGATCAAACTTGTGTCACGGGTCCTTGGAGGCAAAAGTGCAAGCACCCTGCATAAACGTGCCAGCTGCGTCAACAGGTGGCTTAAGTGGGGAGGCGAGGCCGATGAGGAAGTGTTCCCGCTGAGGCTTGATTTCTTCATTGCAATCTTAGGCGAACTCCATGACGAATGCAGGTACAGTGCAATCAAGGAAACCATAGAAACCATGAGGTTCTTAGTTCATGTCTTGGGGTATGACTGCTCAGGTGACCTGCTTCACAATCCATTGATCAATGGGATATTGCGTGGAGCTGAGACGAGTCGTGCTGAGCGCAAACAGTCGAGACCACTGACTGTGAAGGAGGTGCTTTCTTTGGAAGAAACCCTAATAAATAGGCGAGGTCACATTCAAGACCTGTATGCAGTAGGGGTCTTCCTTTTCATGGTCTATGCCCGAGCCAGAGTTGGAGACCTTGCCAGAGTGACCGATGTGATCATCGACATGGCTGATACATCAGGATACCTTGAGGTAAGGACGATGACCCACAAGAACAAGACTGTGTTTGGCCGCCTTGGCTTGGCCCTCTTGTTGATAGCACCAAGGCAGGGTCTCCATGATCAGAGCTGGCTTGATGCTTTCCTCGATGTTTGTGCCAAGTGCCGTGTGCCTGCAAACGAGATCAAGGGAACGCCTTTCCTGCCAGCAGTCAATGGAGCCGGAGATTGGGTGGATCGACCTATCGGGACTACTGACGTGACCAACTGGTTGCGTGAAATGCTGAAACGAAGCACCGGCGTGCCAGTGACGCCAGGACTGACACCCCACGGGTTGAAGGCCACAACCCTTAGTTGGATGTCCAAGTTCAGTAGTGGTGAGAAAACCCGCCTGATGCTTGGCCATCACAGCACTAAGAGGCTTGGTTCACTCGAGGCGTACTCCCGTGACATTCAAGCTGCACCGCTGCGAGAGCTTGAGCAAGTGTTACACAGCATCAGGTGTGGGGCATTCGTTCCTGACTCGACAAGGAGCGGAATGATGGCCGATGTGCCCAAGCCCTTGCAGCCGACGTGCAGTGTTGCTGAGTGTGATGCCAAGGAACCCCAAGTTGAGCAAGTAAAGGAACCCGGACATCCCACTTCTTCGAGTGACCAGCCAAAAGAAACTTGTGCTGCCTTGCCTTCAGTTGAAAAACCTGCCGCTGATGAAAGCAGTAGCTCCTCGAGTGACGACTCGTCAAGTGAGTCAGACAGTGTCATCGAGAAAAAGACTATTGCCCCTCCTGTTGAGTGGAAACCAAGTTGCGACGTGTATAGGAACCGGAAAACTAAGACGTTGCACTTGTTGCCCAAAAGTGGATATTACGCAAGTCTAAGGACACTCGTGTGTGGCCGCAAGGTCACAGGCGATATGCAACTGTTCGTGGGATCGATATTCTCTGAAAAGTGCAAGCAGTGCGATAGTGGCCGAGCAATCAGATCAGTTAACGAGTGTGCCGAATTCACGGAGGAGCAAGCCCGAAGGCGCAAGAGTGCGAATGCGGGAAGCGGTGTCTGAGAAACACGCGCGCTTGGTCCCCCCCCTTTTTTTTGGTTGTTGTTGTGTCTTTTGTGTGTGGGTCCTCAAAAGGGAAAGGGAGGCGGGGGGAAGTAAGGGAACTGGGGCTGGTGAGTCGGCCAGAGGCATGAGTCTCTTGGAAAGCATGTGCTCTCCCCTCCTACGTGACTCTCCTCTCCCCATGTGCAGGTTTGATGACTGATCGGACGACCACATTTGCTCATGAGGGCAAAGACGTCGGCTGTGTTTATTTGTTTCCTTGCGGGGAGTGTGTGAGAGTGAGAGAGAGGGTGTGAGAGGGTTGAAACTGCGTTGAGGAAGGACATCTGTCCCTTGTAGCTCACGGCATGGCTCGAGCAGTTGGCATGAGCCACGTGTGAACAGGCAATGCATGACGCATTCATGACTTGAAGCTGCATGGTACCCATGTTGTGCTGTATCTGTGTCCATTGTTCCAGCATGCACCAGTTTTGGCAACGTACGTGCGCTAAGTGCAATGGCCAGCATAGTGGACTCTGAGGCCGTCTTTAAAGAACGAGCTTTGGAAGTGGGCCTAGATGCAGACACTGTGAGACGCTTGACCGACCAGGGCTTGAATACCCTCGCCAAGCTTGCACACGCAATCACTCAACCGGGTGAAACACCAACCAAGGCAGACCTTGGGTCACTGGTTCGTGTTGCTGACCGCGATGTGCCGATGGGCACAATTGCATCGGTGAGACGGTTGGTGTTCGAAAGCCAGACATTGGTTGTGTCGCAAATCAAGGCGTTGGTTGAAGGGAAGGATGACGAATTAGGAACCGAGTTGGCAGTTGCGGAACGCAACGACAGAATCAAAAAGCAGCAGGAGCGACTACGCGGCTTGCCGATGACTGGCGAGCATGAATGTGGCCATGCCGGATACGACGTAGTGATGAAGATGCTGCATGACAACACTGTCACGTACTTGAACCCTAACAGATTCCCTTCTCGCAGGTTCGAGCTAGCCAATGAGAAGAAAAAGCAAGAAATCCAGGTCGCGAGTTCAAGTTTGACTGTCAAGAGCAGCACAGAAGTGCCCATGTGTGACACATCCAGTGAACTGTTGTTGTCCCAAGCACTCATGAGACGTGCGCTGGCACTTGATTTGGTTGGAGCAGCATCCTTTGCCGTTGTGACCGATTACAATGCCATGTTGCTAAGGCACCTGCAGGAAGATCCACCGACTGGTTATAGCAGGGTCAGCGTGACCCAGATCCTGAGAGCCGACAAACAGGCCTGGTGCAGGCTTGGTGAGACAGTCACGCACGGCCTCAAGCGTAATGCAGGAGGTGCACTTCCCTTGATGAGGCAATCCCCAAGCTGAGCAACGACCCCCAAGTGTGTTTTGCACTCCTGCCTTTGCCCCATCAGACCGGTGTGAAGCGTGATCGAGAGCCAGCGCAACCCTCCCAGCCTGCGCGCAAAGGAAAAGGGAAGGGCAAGGGAAAACCCCGGAGCAGGCCTGTCAAAAACACGCCGGTGAGCCTCCAGGGTAAGAGTAATACCACAAGCAAGGGGAGACGGATCTGCTGGAACTACAACTTGGAGCATGGTTGCTCAGCCAGAGACGTCAAGCCGGGCGGGGAGTGCGAAAAAGGCGCCCATGTTTGCATGGAGCCAGGATGTGGAAAGGCACATTCATTGCAACAGCACTCCTGACAGGATGAGCGTAAGCTTCGATCTTTTCTTGATAAAGCACGAGATCGCATCAGTGGAAAGCGTGTTGCAGACTTGCTTTGTGTTGAAATTTTCTGCGGGACAGGTCGCCTGACTTGCGAACTGCGGAAACTTCGCATGTCCAGCAGCATCGGTGTCGACTCGAAGATAGCAGACAAAGTTGTCTCGCCTGTGCTTAAACTTGATTTGCTTGAAGCTTACGCTGATGAAGTGCTTGACCAATTTTTCCTGAATTCACATGTTGTTTATATCCACATGGCACCGCCCCGCGCCAGATGCATTCAAAAGGCCTGGCCGGTATAACCCGCCACCTACGCGATCCGATCGCCAGCCAGATGGACTGGCTAGTTTGCCAGGATCCCTGAATGAAGGGACGTGTGGCATCCGCCAACCGACTGTACCTCCTCACAGGAGCCTGGGTTGCTAAAGCGCATTCCCTAGGAATCTTCGCTAGCGTTGAAAATCCCGGGAACTCCTTCATGTGGTTGACAAGTTTGTACAACAAGCATACTCAGCAGCTGCCTTTGCTGAGTACCTTTTTTCACCATTGCACGCATGGCGGCCAACGTGAAAAGCTGACCAAGCTTCACCATAATATGCCCGCCTTGATGGAGCTAGCCGTGCTATGCTCAGGACAGACGCCGCAGCACCGACACTTGCCTTGGGGCCGAGTTGACGGCCGTTGGGCCACCTCCGAAGAAACAGCGTACCCTGTTCCACTGTGCCAAGCATGGGCCCGTGCGGTTCTGGCGCAGCTCTGTGCATCTGGGGCCGTTCGGCCTGCAACATGTGCGGCCGAAATGACACAAGATAACTTGCACCTAGCAGCCAGAGTCGCGCTTGCCGACCAACCACGAGGGCGTAAGGTGCTTCCCCTCGTCCCAGAATTCAAGCAGATCGTGACCTTGCGCGGGCCTCGACACGATCTTCCTAGCGCCAAGTGTGATAAGTGGTTCCACTTACCGGCTACGGTGCAATGTAATCCCCCGGTGACAGGCCTGCCGGAAGGTTCGCGTGTGCTGCACCTGCAAGAACTTGGGGGTGAAAGAAGCGATGCAGCACAGAGCAACGGTGACAACTTTGCTGATGGAAGTGCCACGGGCGGGTCCATCCAGATGCAGGTGGGAATTCCGTGGTCGCCCGACGAATTTGTGCAGAGGGCAGCCACCACCAGCGTTGTTTGCAGGCATACCAAAGGTACTTGCAGATGCCATCGACAAAGTCGCCTCCCAGATTCCCACACGGACAGGGGTTCACCGTGCGGAGCAAATGCGTAAATGGGTTAGTCGAGCCATAGCCCTCGAGGATGAAGAGAAGGCCATCAAGACAAGCATGGATAGCCACTGTGCCGATATTCTGAAAAGAAAACGGCTGTGCCTTTTTAAAGAACTCCTCTTGGAGAGCAACTACGAAGATGCCGGAGTTGCGCTCGAGTTGTGTGACGGTTTTGACTTAGCAGGACCCATACCACCCTCACCTTTCTTCAGGAAGAAGATGACAGCGGCCACCTTGGCTACCAGTGCTTGGAGACAATCCGCCCCCGTGGTCAGGCAGGGCATTCTACACAGCACTCGATCATCTGGGGATAAATCCCTTGACGAAGCCGTGTTTCAGATTAGCATGGATGAACTCGAAAAAGGTTGGCTGTGGGGACCCGTGCCAGAATCTGATCTACCTGCAAATGCCAGCTTGACAAGACGCTTCGGAATTTGGCAGAGCGGGAAATGCAGGCCAATTGATAATTTTAAAGAGTCTGGTCTCAATGCCACTGCCTCGAGCGTTGACACGATATCCATACACACAGCCGACTGTATTGCTGCAGCAGTTGCATACAGGTTGAGGTCGGCGGGTGATTGCACTGAGCGCAAACACCTACGTGGCAAGACGTGGGACTTGCGCAAAGCGTACAAGCAGATCCCCGTGAAGACTTCTTCGCTTGTTGATGGTTTCCTTTGTGTCCATGACCCAGGCTGTGGATCCCCCAAAATCTTCGGCCAAAAAGTCATGCCCTTTGGTGCCAGATCCTCCGTGCACAGCTTCTGTCGCATTGCGTCGGGCATTTGGTTTGTGGGTGTTAAATTGTTCCTGATTCACTGGAGTGCCTACTTTGACGACTATGTAGGAGTCGAAGAGGAAGCACTCGTGAGACAAGCCGACTTGATGATTCCCACTTACTTTAAACTGCTTGGCTGGGAGGTGTCTGAAGACAAAGACTCCTGCTTCAGTACAGAAGCCATCGCACTGGGCTTGAAGTTCAACTTAGCTGAAGCTAATCTCGGCATCTTGTACATAGGAAACACCGACAAACGTAAGACAGAGCTTGAGGCCACCCTCGAGAAGCACCTATGTTCAATGCGCCTGGCTGCTGTTGAGGGGGCATCCCTCCGGGGCAGGCTCCTTTTTGCGGAAAACCAGATCCTTGGCAGACAAGGCAAGCTTGCCATGAAGTCCTTGTCCAAACACATCGCATCAGGGAAACCTGATTTGTCACGCGAGACAGCCGCAGCCTTGCACCTGCTCAAGCGAGATGTGGTGCTTGGTCCACCGAGACGTGTGACCTCGGAGATCAGCCGCACATGGCACGTGTTCGTAGATGCTTGCCACGAACCCGGAAATCTCACACCAGGTGGTCTAGGAGGCGTCCTTATTGACCCGGGTCTGGGCCCGGTGGCATTTTTCAGTGAAAATGTTACCGCAGAGCAGCTTGTGATCTTGAACAAAACTGGGAGCAAGAACCCCATCTACGAGCTTGAGTGCCTTGCAATGTTTTGCGGACTTTTCTTGTGGAAGGACCAACTAGCCGCCTGCCATGTAATAATCTTTACTGATAATTGCGGGTCCTTGGCCACCATGATTTCAGGAACGTCAGAGAACTGTGTGGGGGAGAGTATCATCCATAGCACAGCCGCGCTTGGAGATGCTTGCAACATGCAGTGTTGGTTTGAACGTGTGAACACCGCTTCCAACATAGCAGACGAACCTTCCAGGGAATGCCCCGAACACGGCCGCCTGGGGTGCAGAGCCCGCTTTGACGTGGGTGAGATTGTTGAGCATGCCACCTTTGACATGAGGACGTGGGGTGGTGAGGCAAAGATGGCTCATGCCATCTAAGACATGGTCTTTGGAATGCGAGGCATGAGCCACTGTGGCATGAGCCACACAACAGAGACCTTAGACTCCCCCACGCTTTCTTGAAAAAGGTGCGCGACTCTTCTGTGATCCTGCATGTAGGGAAAGCTGGTTGAGCTTCCCCCCCCTCTTGGTTCTAATATGTGGTTCGTTCGGGTTACCCTCAGCTGAGCGGCTTCCGGATATCTGAACTGTTCATGAAAACTCCTCCACTGAGCGGCTTCTGGTTGAGAGAAACTAAGTGGGGAAATAAGCAGTGACCCTCCCGTAGGGGGATAACGTATTATTTCTCGACTAAGTTGTCTGCGTGTGCATGCGCATGATTTTGGAGCTTGCGCATGCCAACCTCTCTGAACCATCCTTTGGAACTGGCAAATTCCTTTTGCCAACAGCCATTTCCAAATCATTTGTATGTTCCTTGACACCATGTCTGGTTTTGTGGTTGTATTGACACCCACATTGTGCAGCCACTGGCTGGGAGGGAGGTGGGTGTCCCTTTGTTTTGGGGTAGTTCTTTTGCTTCGTCCCACCCCGCCCCACCCGAGGCAAAGATGGCATGAGCCATCTAAGACATGGTCTTTGGAATGCGAGGCATGAGCCGCTGTGGCATGAGCCACACAACAGAGACCTTAGACTGTGATCCTGCATGTAGGGAAAGCTGGTTGAGCTTCCCCCCCCTCTTGGTTCTAATATGTGGTTCTTTCGGGTTACCCTCAGCTGAGCGGCTTCCGGATATCTGAACTGTTGATGAGGACTCCTCCACTGAGCGGCTTCTGGTTGAGAGAAACTAAGTGGGGAAATAAATATATATATATATATATATACATATATAAAAGGATGTGTGTGTGTGTGCGTGTGTGTGTGTGTGCTTCTTTTGGTAGACTATGTTGCGCCCAACAGAGCCTGTGTGTTAAGTGCTAAAGGTTGCTCAAGATCCATCCCCCAAGAGACAAACGAAGCGGAAGTAGATCTTGAGATGGTTTCCTGAGTGTGGCAAAGAGCAGCCAACAAAAAGGGATGTGGGTGTTTCTCAAAATTCCAGACCCATGCGCCAGCAACGGTTCCTTCTGGTTTTCCTTACAACATCCGTAACGGATCCTTTTTTGAGACAGACAGGAAACCCACACAGGCAGCCCAGGTTTGCCCGAGCTAGGGATGCCACAAGCATCCCACGGCAGATTGGTTTTGCCAGAACCTTTCATTGCAAAAATTGTAGCATAGAGGGCGTGTTCACCAACGCCTCCCCGCATACACTCACACACTCACACCAAAACAAACAAGCAAGCAATCAACCAATCAATCAATCAATCAATCAAACAATCAGTCAATCAAGCCAACAATCAATGCCACAAACGAGCGAGCGAACGAACGAACGGACGAACACGCACGCGCGCGCACTCGGAGAGTGCGCGAGAGGGAGCCTGAGCTCTCACATGCACATCCCCAACGGGTGCATGTGTTTTTTCTGGTGGCCAGTTCGCACGTGAGGGTTTCCCAAAGACCCATACTGGCAATCTTAGCATGTGGGAGTAAGGCCTTTCCGCCCGAAGCCGATTTCCATCGGCCATTTTTGCAGGTTCTACCCGGCTTAATATGGGTGATATATTAAGGGCCCAAGAAGCCCTTATAGTCATGTCGGTAGAATCAAAAGTCGACGAGTTTTGGGCGCTCATGTGACCATCCGCCGAATTGAGGAGCACTTGCTGATCGCTCTCGGCCCGCTTGACCCAGACTCTGTGCAACTTGGCCTGGGATCGTTGAACATGGAACCCCAAGAAGCCTTGACTGCTATTGGGTTGGATCTTTAGACTTTAACTTTTGGGAAGTCAAGAGGTTTTCCACTAAACCCACAAAAAAAAGTTAAGCTTTTTGCAGAGAGTTCAACAGCAACCAAAAAGCGGTCCCGAAGCGCTCCGCTTCCTTGGCACACGGTGCTTGTGCTGGGGGGTGCCTTTCACAAGCAGTTGGGATTGTCTTGTGACGGGTCCACTCAGGAAGTGGGATGATGTTTGGTTCGGGCCAAAATCAATGTCTCTTTGCGGTCCCGGGTGATTTCGCATCCAAAATTTGGGGGGTCACCTTTTCAGTTTGAGTTCTAAATTAGTTTACAGCTGTTGAGTTCAAAGCGATTGGAAGTGAGCCAACCAATCACCTAAAACAAAAAGCAACACAAACATGTGTTGGGACATCTGGGAGGGGCGGGCTCTGCTTCCCATCCCCAGATGAAGCGCCTAACATCCTGCCTGGGATTCATGGGGCGGGTGCTCATAGAATGTCAATGATTCAATGGCACGGTTGATTCCGTAAGGGAAAGTAGGAAACAGAAGAAGCCTAGACAATGGCAAAGTGTGAGATTTGGTCACATTGCATTGAGGGAATCTACCCAAAGGTTCCCCAAATGCAAGCCCACCGCAGGACTGGCCAACCGCTCTTGTGGTTGAATGTCAATGGAGCGCTACTAGCCCCCTCCCATTTTGAGAAAAGAAAGCCGAGAGGGGATGATTCGGTATTCGTTATGTTTCCAGACTGTTTTGGCACCCAGTCACGTCACCAGGTTGTTTCGTCAGGCAGGGATCGCGCAGGAAATGGATGGCCATTGTACAAGCGAGCAACGGAGAGGTTTTTCCTGTGTACCACGGAGCTTGTTGCGAATGGAATCATGTCTCGACACTCAATAGTCTTAACCCCGTATAAATGTTCACCTCCCTTCACTTTGTGAGTGACACCCGCCGATTCGGATGGGACTATTCATCCTGGGGGTGCCCTTTAGTGGCAAGCCAATTTTCGCCCTAGTTGCACTGGTCCCTTTGAGGCCCGAAACCAGCTCAGGTACAGTATCACCATCCCTTCAGGCCGGGAGAGGCTGCCCTTGTGGGGCAGTCATTCAGCGTTTCCGGGTTTCTGCTTGCAAAGCCTTTGTAGTTCCTTCGCCAGAGCGACTTTGGCTCTGGGCAGCTCGCAAGTTTTCGGAGCTCGCCTGGGGATAGAACCAGTTCACATATCACAGTCCTATTTGTCAAAAATTGCTTGTCAGCCTCAGTTTCTGGGCCTCAGATATTGCTCAAGGCCAACACTAGAAGGCGGGCGTTTGTGTGTCAGGCTTGCGTCATGCTCTTTTTGGTGAGCATCCTCAATCTATAATCATCAGCGCCTGCACCATCACACAAAAGGCTGCCCCGATGGCTCGATGCACAGTTTGAACAAGTTGGGAGAATACTTGCCTCACGTCAAAAAAAGCACGCCAGAACGCCAACATGGCAAAACGATTGCTCCGACGTGGCCCTTTTGATCCAGCACCAACCTTTTCCGAGTTAGTGGGTGGAAGGAAAGATAGCTGGATCATGTGGACAGATCCCCTGATGATTTGCCACCAGGGCTTGATCATTTTGCAGCATGGGCAGAGTTTGGGTGCTAGAGAACCAAATTCAATTAGAGTAATCACGAGGGGATGTTTTTGTTTTTTTGAGAGCCGTTCAGCTGCAAGGGGTCGCCCAGAGCATCTCTTAGAGGCAACACGCAAAATGGTGGAGGTCCTTTTTGGTTTCCCTTTAAGTCCCACCCCAAACAGGGTACCCTCAAAACTGCACAGACCCGGTGCCATGTAGGTGCCCTCGTTGACCGAGCCAACAATGCCTTTGTCGGAGTGCAGGCTGGGTAAGAGGCCCCGAGTGCCTCGGGAGTTCCACATTACGTCAAGGTACTTCATGTAAAGTGGGAGTAATCTGTTTGCTTCACGTGTTTTCCCTGTGAGACATGGATCCGTGGTGTTTGGCCTCGGAAACTGCCGTTGCATGCTAGTGGGTCACAGTCAGCCCACTTGAAGCCCCTGTCCTGTGCCTGGAATGACGTCGCATCTTAGTCCTTGCAAGAGACATGTGGCGGGATGGCATTTGCCAATGTCGACCCCTTGATGTCCAGCCTGACTTATGGACGCAAAGTGGGCGCAGAAAAGGAAAGCCACCACTACATTGTTGAAGCCAGCCCTAGCATGGGACTCGCTGAACTTTGCCCATGCGGGTCAGGGAAGACCTCCTCACCGACTTATCCTGAAACCTTGAAGTGGGCGCGAAATTGCGTGAAGATCTAGCCATGTGCCAGGCACAGGTCTGCGGCTGATGAACCAGGGTTCCCTCCCTACACATCCCTGTTGTTTTTCTTTTGAAAATCACCGTACGTGCAAGTTCAATGCAAATGTCTTTTGGGTGGGTGTGTTTAGGTTGGTCTGAGCGACCTTACAGAGATGTGCGACCCGAGGCTCCATGAAGATCCTTGCAAAGGGATCCCTGTTTATTGAGAACACCCATGGACAACCGATCAATGGCGCGCTTAAGGGCTCGCAGCAGAAGCAGAAATGTGACCAGCGTTCGTCTAAGCAAACGAGTTGGAAGGCCGCAACATGCAGCTTGTAGAGTCAAACTCCACTGCGCGCAAGAGGGTGGCAAGCACCTCCTGAGGATCAGCTTTTGTTGGGTGAAAAGGGGTTAAAGCAGACACTCCACGTGCACAAAGTGTTGGATTTTATTCAATCACGTCCATGATTGCAAGCTGATACCCATAGTCAGACTGTATTTGCCGCCAGGTTGGAGAGTGGGCCTTTCGGAGCACCATCAAGCCCCAGCGCCTTCTTCGCATTCGGCAAGATACAGAGACAGACAGAAAGCGAGAGAGAGAGAGAGAGTGAGAGAGAGTGTAACAAGATGGTGAGAATCAAGGGACGTTCCCCGCGTGTCTGCTCACTCTGTCCCCCACCCTGCGGTCGTAGTTCGCAGGAAAAGTTGGGCCTGGTGCTTTTTCCTTTTTTTTTTACCTTGGAGAGGTCGTTTGGTCTTTCTTGTTGTTTGTCTTCCCTGACTCTCAAGGGTGCCAGCTGCAATTTGCCAGAGAAGCTGTCCCGAAGTGAATATTGAGTTTGGACAGCACTCCAGAGGTATCACGGAGATTGCAATCCTTCTGAGGGAAAGGGCATGCCGTTCCTCAGATGCAAGGGGCTTGCATGTTGCTCCTGTGCATGTGAGGCAAGAAATATGGGTATGTTTGTGTTGATGCCCGAGGTCCGCTTCAAGACAAGCAGAATATATCAGATTCCTAGACAACAAGCGGTGATATCCGACACCCGCTGTGTGAGGAATTTGACTGCAGAAAAAAAGGATCTGTGGACGGACGCAATCCCTTTCGCACCGGTTGGTAGGTGGTTTGTTTCATTGATCCCAACTGGTGCCAAGCGGATTTCGTCCATCCACAGTAGGTTGGTCCTAAAGTTTTCGGGCGAAATAGATCAGATGTTGCTACCATGAAACATGGTCAAGGAAAACAAGCTAGCTCATTGTTCTACGGGCCCTAAATCCCCCCCCAACTTGACAACTTTGGCCGGGAAAGTGAGTCAAGGTGGCTGGTGAGATGGAAACCCGAGGTGAAAAGGGTGTGTCTTCTTTTAGGGGATTCTTAAAATGATGGCTTTCCTGTTGGTTTCCCGTTAAAACTATCAAAAAGGGGTACCCTCAACAAAGATACACCCAAAACATGTGTTCGGGACACGTTGGTTTCTTGTCTCAATTCTCAGGCAGCCCTTAGTTGGCGGTTTGGATTGGTGTGGGGTTTTTGAACCCCTGGTTCCTGTGGGTAGATGGGAAACCACCCCTCCAAGCCACGAACCAACCAGCGAAAAGTTGAGCTTCCCGCCCGCGCCCTCGAGCTCAGGGTGGTGGAATCCAATGCCGGGGACTTCCCCCCAGGAGCCATTGCAGGACCGGTGGCGCCTAGGGGCCCATGTGCTTCAGGTTTTTCCATAGCGCGTGGATCTGCTTGCTTCAGTTTTCTTCACCTTGCGTGCTGTTTTGAGAAGGTCTTCCAAGAATCGTTTGGCCATCCCCATTGGCTCAAGACGACTTGTGTGTTTCTGGTTTTGGTTCCAGTCGTGACCTCGAATTGGTTTGGCGATACTGACGTTCCCGGAGATGCCTTGTTGAAGGAGCTGAGAGTTCAAGTCCCCGAATCCTCCAAACCACATGTCAAGGGAAGCGTGTGATCAAAAGCTCAGATGTTCTGATGTCGTAAATCCCCAGCGACGTTGCAACAGGAACGATTAGATTGGGGATTCGCGTGCACATTGTTTGGAAGCACAAACATGTGCTGACTCGAAATCTGGGACCCCTGTGTGACCACCTCAGGGACACCCTAATTCTGAGACGACGCGTAAACTGAGGGTCAACTTATGGTCAGAGGTAAGGCGGGAGCCGCCTAGAAACTTGGCGCGACAGATGTGACATTCAACGCAGTGCTTTGGTCAAAAGACACCTTGGGGTTGGCCGGGCTAAGGAGTTTTGACCATATGCTCCACATAGCACGCGATCTGTACAAACAGAACACCTCTCACGCGATGGAAACATGGAACTTGAGCCTTTCGGGCCTTGACTAGGCTTGCAATTAGAGGAGAGCACCGTTTTCGGAACAATCAGCCTTTCGGCAGGAGAATTCCCAGTGTTTTCGAATTGAACAATGCCGTGTCTTTGTTTGGGTGCCCTTTTTGGGGGTGGTTTGAAAAGGGGAATGCAAGGAAAACCGTTGACATGTTGCGGGAAGCGACTAAATCCAGTTGTGTGGTGGCGCCCAGACTATGAAGGTCCCTCACAGGAGATCAATGACATCTCTTTACGATGCGCGGCTCCTTCCGCCGTCTTTGGGGTTTGTGAATGAGGCAATGAGATGAGCTCCGGCCAGGGTTCTGCAGTCTAGGCCCAGACACAGCGAGCTTCTTCCTCCTTTTTTGGAGGCGGTGGGCTTCTGAAAAATCAACCCCCAAGAAAGTGTGCCTTCACTTGTCCGTCTATGTACTGGAGGTTGGGGGTTGATTCCTGGTCCCTTCACGGTTCTCTTCAAAACCCGTGGGGGGTTTCTAAGATGGATCCCGTAAGGCGGGAGTCCCCCCTAGGCTGAGAAGGATGAATCACAGAATACGTTCCCACTGGACCCCTGAGTGAGCAGAACTTAAAAGAGTTGTTTGTTTTGATAGGTGTCGCAAAGCAAGACAGTACACACTTGTTGTGTTTGCCACGACTCGCCTGGCAGGAATCATTGCGGCGGCTGTTCTCCTGATTGCGCAGCTTGTCAGAACTGTTTTTGAACAGAATCCAGTTGCCCACAACCCCAAAAGTGCTCACTTTCCAAGTTTCTGGACTTCCGTTTTGGTGGATCAATAGGCACTGGGGCGTTTTGGTGTGCCACTTCGCCTCGGAAGTACTCATTATGTCATTCGCTGGAGTTGGCTCGGTTTCGCCAACTCTCACCCGAGCAAGCACGCAACCGGGATTGTAAGCACTGCGTGGACTTCACCGATATGACAACCCAAGGTAAATGTAATTACCAACAATCGGTTGGACCACTGTTACAAAGTGGTGCGAAATGATTTTTTGCAACCATCCACAGTAGAAAAACATGAGTCCAAAGGCCTTGCCGTGAGATAAAGAACAGCAGCAACAAAACATAGCAGCCAGTGCTGACATTTTCCCCGCGCAAGGAGAAAGATGTCAATGCTTCTGTCCGCCTTATTTACCTAAATCTGGATTTGGAGGAACGCGGTTGTGTTCGAGTTGGATGAAAAAGGACAAGCCTTCAGCGTCATGAGCATGCGCCAGTCTGGAAGTTGGGAAAGCAAAGGCGACCAACCATTCGTTTACAAAAGCCCCTTGCCCGCGGCCATGATGTTTTTAAAATATCTCCGTTTGGCAGAAACAGTCATGACTAGCCTTGGTATAGTCACGTCTGTTCCTAAGCCACGTGGTTGTCCAGTGTGCTATTCTTTGTGGCTCCGAGCAAGTCAACTTTGTATTTCCAGGTGTTCGGCAGCACTTGAAAAAGATATCAGCTGGCTGACGAGTGTTTTTTGTAGTTCAGAGGACTGGTGTTGGTGCGATCGGATGTGAAAGGGGCTCCTTCGACATGTGGCCCAAGGATTGTGGTCAAAACCATTGTGACTCTCCCAACCCGTCTGCATCTCACGAGAAACTCGTGAAATGTGTTCAGACCTTTCAGAGAACCTTTCCTGAAGGGGAGCTTTGGCCTTTCCCCACACGTGTTTGTTGAGCTTAAGAGACCGGTGAGTGCAAACTAACCGCTTTTCGGAACACCAATAGGGCAATAGGGTCATTTCGACTGTTTCGGGGCAAAGTCAGGGCTTGTTTCCCTTGAAGTGGGTGACATTGGCACAACGAGGGCGGAAGTTGCCACGCAGCTCATTTGTCAGGGGGACCTCAAGGGGATCTTCAAGTCCTTATTTGTGTGGCGAGCTACAACGAGCTTGTGCTGTAAATCCTTTGGGGATCCAATTATTATTCGGGTTTTGGAGACATTGGGCACTTGCAGATAAATGTGCTTTGTCCTTCGTTGCAGTTTTGGGCTGTGGCAACCGGAAAAAGGCTCCCATATAGCCTCCCCTCCGCCCCTCCGCCCCTCCCAGGGCTCCCAGTGAAAGTCTGCACCCGTTGACCTGGGTACGGGACGTGCTGTCTTCGTTATGGGTCCTGTTTGTTGAGTTTAAAGGGACATCAAAAGGAAGCCAACCATTCTAGGGTCCCTATGCACTGGCTGGGCCAAAAGCTGCTTTTCTCACCTTTTGGGAACTGTCACTTTGGTCTCAGTTTAGAGAATCACTCCCGGGGGAGTTGGACTTCGATTGTTGGGGGGGCCGTTTTAGTTGGAAGCAAAAGTTGGGCCCTTTGGCCAATCCACTTGACCGGAAGCGAGACAAAGCCGCCGATTCGATGTGCGACAGGATCGCCATCACGGGCATCGCTTGCCAGCGCTGGAAGCTCGTGGCCAAATTCGCGGGGCCCCCAGTCGCCAGTTTGCTGAGCCCTGTGACCCATTTTCAACTCTGTTGAAGTGCAGTTGCATGGGGAAGGGTGGCTGAAGAAACAAACAAAACACCTGGGAAAGCTCAAATGGCACTGGGCAAAGTAGGTTTCTCAAAGTACGGGAGTTCTCAAAACGCGTTGCCTTTTGGCTTCCCAAAAAAAGGAAACCATTCCCAAAGGGCTCCCATTTCTTTCAGCCACACCCGTTCATCTTCGGTGCGCCGTTGCGGTTTTGTGCTCTGATTGCCGTGCTTTCCTTCAACTGGTTGTCCTTCATTTTGTGCTCTTATTGCAACTGTCCTTGTGCTTTGTGTGTGTGTGTGTTTGTGTGGCATTGTTGATGTTTGCTTGGCGCCCCTTCCTGATGCCTTCAGATTTCTCGGTGTGTTTTAGCACCCCAAGAGTCTTCAAATATGGTCCACGGCACACTCCCCGCTGTGGAACATGTGTGAGCCTGCTTTCTGTCAAATTCCACAGTTCGAGGATGCTTCAAGATGCCAGCATGTGTAGGTTACGTGCCCCCCCAAACGCCTGATACGTCTCAAAAAGTGGCTGAGTTGCAGGTTTCATGTCAATTTCTGGGGGGCAATACCTTGAGAACATGGGCAGTCAAAATCAAAGAGCCCCGGAGCTTGGCGAAAGGTAGGTCCTGCCGGAAAATTGGAACGAATGGCGGAGTTCAATTGGGGGACCTCTAAATGGTTGGTGTCCTGCTGGTTTCTTCTACAATGGCTGGTTTCCTATTGGTTGCGGGAAGAAAAGAAGCTGGTTGGTTTCCTGTTGGGTGCCCTAAACAGGTCGCTGTCCTGTGGGTATCCCTTTGTCATCTTGCATGGTTTGATACAATTGCTCAACCAGATGGCACGTCCCCCCTCTCAAACTCAACCCCGACCCCCCCCCCCCCACCTACAAGTAAATGGGCGGCGAACTTGTCGCAATTGTAGATGTCTCCTCTTCGAAATCAACATCTTACAACCCTTCAACTTCGCTGAAGCACCTCAGAAGCACATAGAAGCACCCCTTTCGACCCCTTTTTGTTCCAATCGTTTCCCCTTGTTTTGTCGACCCTGGATTCATGAACTTGTTTGATCAATGGGGAGGTTGTTTGAAGTGAAGGAGTTGCTTTGAAATGGGGCACTCCATTGACCGTATCTAGGTAAAGAAGTGGACAGAGGGGCTTCCCGAGAAAGATGTTTGACTTTTGACCTGACAGTTTCTCAGAATGATGGACCCCATCGGGGTGTTTTTGTTTTCCGTTTTCTCCATTTCAATAAAAGAGCCTCCCAAAATGTCCATTTTTTAGAAACAAAAAAGGGGAGCTCCAACTTCCCTCCCTGCTCGCTAGGAGGACCGGAAGACTCGGCCTATGGAAGGAGCCACGCCTAAGGCTCCTTCCGTTTAAAAGTGGACTTCTCCAGGGCGTGGGGGGGGGGGGGGAGCAGAGGTGCGTGTTTCTCTTGAGGGTGCCATGTTGGGGGGTTTAAACGACAAAGTGAAGCCCATGATTTTGGGGGGGTTCCCCTTTGACAGACCCTTCTGTTTTGAGCTTTCTCCACTTTTTAGCTGAGCCAAGCCTAGGGCCCACTTCATCACCTGGATTGGTTTTTGTGGAAGCCCAGAAGAACCAACCCTCTTGGGGTCCTGCTTTTGAAGACGAATCCAGCGCCCAAGCTCCAAGAGAGGTACCAATAGGGGGGCCCCTCCTGATGGGTACTGCCTGCTTGGTAGCTGGTAGTTGGTCAAGACTGCAATGCTGAGTTCTGGTGCAGATCCTCCAAGTATTTCCGAATGCTCGACAGCGATCATTGGGAAAAAATCAAGCCGCACTTTTCCTGCAATGAGTGTGTCATCATGTTAGTTCCATTTAAGCAGGTTGAGCATTGACATTTGCCAAGCTCGGGCGATTGCCTGCATCAGGGTTCGTGGCCTCGGCCGAAGCACCCGGTGCGGGCGAGCTCAACGCGTGTTGACATTCTCACGGTTTAGAAGTTTGCTGGGCGATCCCCCATAGCAATGCATGTCAAGCTGGGGAACTGGTGCTCTTGCCAGGGAGGTTCGGGGGCTTTTTGCCTTGTCCTCAGAGTATGTCCCTCCATGTCTTTTGAAGAGCTAACTAGATACACACATTGTTGTCCCACGATCATGACTTCATTTGTCACGGTACCCAAAACCCGAATCTAACTCTTGCAGTGGCTTTATTTGTTTCAATCGGGCCACCCAGCGGTAGTGTATTCCTGGAGCAAACATCTACGGGCCAACAGGTCCGCTCTGGGTTTCTCACAGGTTTCGCCAGAATCCCGGACCATTCAGGGTAAAGCCCGAAACAAGGGGTACATGACCGGTAAGTGAGGGGATGATCAGCGAAATCAAGGGTACATAACTAGTACATGCGGGGGAAATCAGGTGGGCTGTGGGGAAATCATTGTTTCAGGTTGCCGAAAGCGTTGCTTTCGTCTGCGGGTGTTCTTCGGCCAGGCGTCGCAAGTGAAGGCGCTGGAGAACGATACCGTGTGGACCTTGGCTCTCGCATCCATGCGGATCAAAGGTTTTCGATGGATGTCCTTCGGGTGTCCCTTCAAAATCCTGAAAGAGGGCACCCTGAAGAAGCACAACCCCAGGGCATTTTGGGCATAAGAGGGGTTGTCAAAAATGTACCCAGTGCCGGCCGCCTTGTGCCGCCTCAACAAGAGCCCCAAATGTTGACCCCGGAACAATGGTCGATGGTCAATCTGCGAGTTCCAGTGCGACCCCGCGAGAAATTTCCCGAGCCTATCCCGTGACGAAAACCTTCCTCAACTTTCGGCAAGCAGCACAAGCAGACAGACTGAGAACCGCCTCAGTTTCCCATCACGGAAGCAAGCAAAAAAGTGACCGGCTGTGCGTGGCGTCACTTGTCCGAACTGTATCGTGCAAATCTGAGCTGGTGTTTCGCTCTGGCCTAAGTCCACTAATGATCCCAACTGCTTCACTGCGTTTCCAGGAACAGAAAGCAGGAATTGGAGCATGATGGGTTGTATTGCCGCCATATTTGGTTCATTTAGGAGACTGATAGAATGACCTAACGTGTCGGCATCTATGCTGGAATCCATTTGCTAGAACCCGTGGGCCATTTAAACCCATGGGGCAGCAAAAATATTATCGTGACCAAGCCCTTCAAAAGGAGACGCTTAGGCCTTCGCTTTGGCCTTTCCTAAGAACCCAGTGCCTGGATATGGACCGTGGCACGGCTGGTTCAGGAGTGGACATGTAGAATTTGCAAAACCTTCGCACGGTTTTCAGCGCTGAAAGAGCGCTCGGCGCCCAGTTCGGAAGTCGGCAACTCACCATCCGGGGCTTCCCACAAATTCCCTTGTTTGATTTCGTCAGCGCCTTTGCATCTCCCCTCTTTGATTTGGACAATTGTTGCCAAGTTCAAGAAGGTGTCCTTGGTGATTTTCGGTGTGGCGAGGTATTTGTCGACCCAGGCTTTCCAGGAAACAGGTTTGGCCCAATGATTCAATGACAGGTTCCATAGCCCCCCCCTCCCCCCCGAGGCCCGCTCGACCTTGTGTCCCATGGAGTTTGTAGATGCCTCCTGTAAAGTCGCCCATGGGAATCCTTCGCGAGACCTGCGCCCTAGGAGCTGCTGCCCAGCAACGAGAAGTATTGGCAGAAGGCGCTGGTGCGCACCCAGGCCGGCAATAGAGATCCGCTCGGAAGGCGACCCCGGCTACAGCCATGTTGTGTGATAAGAAACCCGTTTTGCATTCGAGAGTCTCGCAAATGTCTGAGTTGTACGTTGGAGTTAAGAAATCTCAAGTTACGCACCCGGCTACCTTGCACACTTAGGTGCCTGTTGTGTAGGTTGGCTTACCTTCTTGGCACGACATAGATACATGGGGATCTGTTGTAAATGTGTCACTGTCTCCGTGCATACATACATACATACACGTATATATGGATATATCTACATAAATATATCCACCCACCCAAGCCTACATGCCCACGTGCCTACATGCAAGCATGCGCACATACTTAGATCGATGCATACATACTTACATCAATGCATCCATCCATCCATCCATGCATCCATGCATGTATACATCCATGCATGCATAGATGCATATAGGCATATAACCATACGTGAATACATACATGCATACATACATGCATGCATGCATACATACATACATACACACATACATACAACAATGACAAGTACATGCATACATGGGCACATGCGTACATGCGTGAATGCGTACACGCATCCAGCCAGCCAGCCAGCCATCCATCCATCCATCCATCCATCCATCCATCCATCCATCGATACATACATCCATCCATACATTCATACATCTATACATCCATACATCCATATATCCATACATCCATCCATCGTGCATGCGTGCATACATGCATACATACATGAGTACATACATAGCTGCATTCATACATGCATTACATCAACCCATGCATGTATGCATGCATCCATGCATGCATGTGTGCATACATACATGCATACATGCACAAATGCATAAATGCATACATGCATACATGCATACATGCATACACATGCATACGTACATATGTGCATACACACATGAGTACATACATAGATACAGCATTCATACATGCATGCATAAATACGTCCATACGCACATGAATACATGTATGTGTGCATGTATGTGCATGTATACATCAACGCATGCACCTATGCGTACATACATGCAGACATGCCGACATACATCAGTACATACATAGATACAGCATTCATATTTTAACGCCTCCGGCTCAGGCCGCCGACATTACAGGCTTGCTTTCTTATTTGCGTCCCTTTGGAATTTCCCCCACTTTCCCCCCTAAGGCCTTTTCCCCCCCGAGATCTTTTCCCTTTCCTCCCTGAGATCTTTCCCCCCCCTTCCCTGTTGAGATTCTTTCCCCCCTTTCCCCCCTAAGGCCTTTCCTTCCGCTGAGATCTTCTCCCTATTCCTCCCTAAGATCCTTTGCCCCCTTTCCCTGTTGAGATCCTTTCCCCCCCTACCCCGAAGGCCTTTCCAGATCTTCTCCCTTTTCCTTCCTAAGATTGTTTCCCCCCTTTCCCTGTTGAGATCCTTCCCACCCTTTCCCCCCTAAGGCTAATCCCTTGCTGAGACCTTCTCCCTGTTCCTTCCTAAGATCTTTCCCCCCTTTCCCTGTTGGCCTTTTTTCCCCCAGATCTTCTCCCTTTCCTCCCTAAGATCTTTTCCACCCCTTTCCCTGTTGAGATCATTTCTCCCCTTTCCCCCCTAAGGCCTTTGCCCCCAGATCTTCTCCCTTTCCTCCCTAAGATCTTTCCCCCCCTTTCCCTGCTGAGATCCTTTCCCCCCTTTCCCCCCTAAAGCCTTTCCTCCCCTGAGATCTTCTCCCTTTTCCTCCCTAAGATCTTTTGCCACCTTTCCCTGTTGAGATCCATTCCCCCTTTCCCCCCTAAGGCCCTTTCTCCCTCTGAGTTTGCTTTTCCTCCCTAAGATCCCTCTCCCTGTTGAGATCCTTTCCCCCCTTTCCCCCCTAAGGCCTTTTTCGCCCCTGAGATCATCTCCCTTTTCCTCCCTTTCCCACCCTTTCCTCCTTAAGGCCTTTCCCCCCCCCCCCCCGGAGATCTTTTCCCTTTCCTCCCTGAGACCTTTCCCCCCCTTCCCCTGTTGACAAGGCCTTTCCCCCCGCTGAGATCTTCTCCCTATTCCTCCCTAAGATCCTTTGCCCCCTTTCCCTGTTGAGATCCTTTCCCCCCCTATCCGCAGGCCTTTCCAGATCTTCTCCCTTTTCCTTCCTAAGATTGTTTCCCCCCTTTCCCTGTTGAGATCTTTCCCCCCTAAGGCCGTTCCCCCCCTGAGCCTCCCTTTTCCTTCTTAAGATCTTTCCCCCCCTTTCCTGTTGGCCTTTTTTCCCCAGACCTTCTCCCTTTCCTCCCTAAGATCTCTTCCACCCCTTTCCCTGTAGAGATCATTTCTCCCCTTTCCCCCCTAAGGCCTTTGCCCCCAGATCTTCTCCCTTTCCTCCCTAAGATCTTTCCCCCCCTTTCCCTGCTCAGATCCTTTCCCCCCTTTCCCCCCTAAGGCCTTTCCCCCCCTGAGATCTTCTCCCTTTTCCTCCCTAAGATCTTTTGCCACCTTTCCCTGTTGAGATCCTTTCCCCCCTTTCCCGCCTAAGGCCTTTTTTCCCCCCGCGATCTTCCTATTCCTCCCTAAGATCCTTTGCCCCCTTTCCTTGTTGAGATCTTTTCCCCCCCTTTCCCCCCTAAAGCCTTTTCCCCCCCAAGATCTTCTCCTTTCCCCCCGAAGGCCTTTGCAGATCTTCTCCCTTTTCCTCCCTAAGATCCTTTGCCCCCTTTCCCTGTTGAGATCCTTTCCCCCTTTCCCCCCTAAGGCCTTTCCCCCCTGAGATCTTAAGGCCTTTTCCCCCTTGAGATTTTCTTGCTTTTCGATCCTTTCCCCCTTTCCCCCCTAAGGCCTTTTCCCCCCCTGAGATCATCTCCCTTTTCCTCCCTAAGATGTTTTCCCCCCTGTCCCTGTTGAGATCCCTTCCCCCCTTTCCCCCCTAAGGCCTTTTCCCCCCTGAGATCTTCTCCCTTTTCCTCCCTCCACCTTTCCCTGTTGAGTTTCCCCCCCTGAGATCTTCTCCTTTTTCCTCCCTAAGATCTTTTGCCACCTTTCCCTGTTGAGATCCTTTCCCCCCCCTTTCCCCCCTAAGGCCTTTTTTTCCCCTGCGATCTTCCCCCTTTTCCTTCCTAAGATCTTTTCCCCCCTTTCCTTGTTGAGATCCTTTCCCCCCCTTTCCCCCCTAAGGCCTTTTTCCCCCCAAGATCTTCTCCCTTTTCCTCCCTAAGATGTTTTCCCCCCTTTCCCTGTTGAGATCCTTTCCCCCCTTTCCCCCCTAAGGCCTTTCCCCCCCTGAGATCTTAAGGCCTTTTCCCCCCCTGAGATCTTCTCGCTTTTCCTCCCTAAGATCTTCTCCCACCTTTCCCTGTTGAGATCCCCTTTCCCCCCCTGAGATCTTCTCCCTTGACCTCCCTAAGATCCTTCCCCTCTTTTCCGGTTGAGATCCTTTCCCTCTAAGGCCTTTTCCCCCCAGATCTTCTCCCTTTCCTCCCTAAGATCTTTTGCCACCTTTCCCTGTTGAGACCCTTTCCTCCCTAAGGCCTTTCCCCCCCTGAGATCTTTCTCCCTTTTCCTCCCTAAGATCCTTCCCCTCTTTTCCGGTTGAGATCCTTTCCCCCCTTTCCCCCCTAAGTCCTTTTCTCCCAGATCTTCTCCCTTTCCTCCCTAAGATCTTCCCCCCCCCCCCTTTCCTCCCTAAGATCTTTCCCACCCTTTCCCTGTTGAGGTCCTTTCCCCCCTTTCCCTCCTAAGGCCTTTCCCCCCCTGAGAGCTTCTCCCTTTTCCTTTCTAAGATCTTTTCCCCCCTTTTATTGATTGCCTTTTTTCCTCAGATCTTCTCCCTTTCCTCCCGGAGATCTTTCCCCCCCTTTCCCTGTTGAGATCCTTTCCCCCCTTTCCCTGCGTCATTTCCAGATGTTCCTTCACCAGCATGGGCAACATCCCCAGCATCACTTGCATCATCCGCATCCTTGGCAGGCGCTGATGCGGATGATGCAGGTCATGCTGGCGATGTTCCAAAGCGAAAGCGGACCCGGCAAAAATCGAACACCCCAATGTTTTTTCACAAACTTAGTTGTGCAGCGTCTTCGGATCACCGCGTGGTACGTGGAGTAGTCTGAAATGCTGCCCCTGGGGAGGGGTTAGGGGAGGGGTAACAGGTAGAGAGGTAAGGAGCATTTCTTATGTCCAACACGCCGTCTGTTGTCGGCGGACATGCATGCATAAATACGTACATACACACATGCATACATGTATGCGTGCATGTATGTGCATGTATACATCCATGCATGCACGCACACATGCGTACATACATGCAGACATGCAGACATACATGAGTATATACATAGATGCCATGCATGCATGCACACATGCGTACATACATGCAGACATGCAGACATACATGAGTACATACATAGATGCGTGCATGTATGTACATGTATACATCCATGCATGCATGCGGACATGCGGACATACCTGAAGACATGCAGACATCCATGAGTACATACATAGATACCTGGCTAGATGCATACATCCATGTAGTTGCTGTTCGTTGTTTGTCAAGAGTACCAGCTCCATGGCATGAAGAGCTGCGTCCACAAGAGTTGCGTGCAGACGACTTTTGCTCAGGAGCTGGGGAACGGGCTGGACCCCGAGCTGGACACAGACGGTTTGGAGGAGCATCTACACAAGGCAAATGGTTTTTGTCTTTATTTGTTGCTGGGTTCTTTGGGGGCCAAAGGTGAAGGATGCCCCACAACGTGGCTCCAAAAGGTGCATGGAACATGCCCAGAAAAAGTTAAGGTCTGGTTTTGAGTCGGACTTGGTTGCCCTTGATAGAGCGGGGAAGTCCTCTTTTGACTAGCATTCTGGAGATGTTGCACTCCGAAATCCAGTCGTGACCTGCATAATCGCTTAGTCTAACCTGTTTTGCTTGGTCTCTGAACATAGCGGAGGCGTTCGATACCATTTGGTATCATTCGAATAACTCACTTCCTGAGTTCATGAACTTTAAACTGTTTGGGAAGACCATTTTAGTGGTAAATATAAAGTTTGAACTTTTTCTGGGCCATCCATTCAGCCAGTGAGATAACATGACGTGTTTCAAGCCAATCCAAGCTGACAATCCTGAGGAATAGAGAGACGCTCAGCGAGCTTGGGACTACAAGATTGTTCATGCGACAACGGAGGAGGCTGAGTCAACAAATGAGGCGGTGCATCAAGCAGTTGTTGCTTGTTCCCTAGTTTTTCCTGCGTGGAAGCATGCAGATCAATTCAGCGATTCAAGCCTGAAGATGGTTGTTATGTAGCGGCGGGGAATGCAGTTCCCCCCCATTGAGTCCTGACACATGCCCCCATTTTCAATAGTGTGCTCAAAGTCAATCCTGAAGCCTTTGCCTTAGTGTGTTTTTCAAGGGGGACTGCGAATGGACCCATTGGACTAGTTACCCTCCATGTTTGAGCCACCCCAATTTCTGAACTTGAGGTCAAAACTTAGGGAGTGAGACTTGCCTGTTGCCTGTGGTGTCCTTCATTTTCCCTGTTGACCTGCAACATATGTTTATTGTTGCAGGGCCCCCACTGATTCCTGCGGCCACTTGCCCCGCTGCGAAACACAGCGAGGAATTGCCGCGAGACATCCCCGGCACGGTGAATTCCAGGCCGGAGAGATGAGTGTGTCTTTTGTTGAGGGAACCCTTTGGGGTTTCTGAGGGAAACCAAACGCAAGACCACCAGTTTGCCCCTAGAAAAAGATGGTGTGGAATTCGATTCATTCGACTCGCGGATGAACAAAAGCACATTGGGATATTCGAATGGGGTTGGGCACTTTAACACCACATGTCATGGCTCTAGGAGTGTGCTATTGGTGAAGTCTTTGGGCCTTTATTTTTCTGTATATTACTCCCCCGAACGTGGAGCCCGAAAAGAGGGTCACCCGAAAGGTTCATCCGGACTGTGCCAGTCGGAGTCTCGAATAGCATCGACCCCAAACAGCAACGTGCTCGTTTCAATGGGCCCATTGTCAACCATGGGCAGCCAAGCATAGCGATTAGTACAATGGGAGTGAATACAGAAAAACAAACTCAGAATTATTCACTCTCCTGAAAAGCAAAAAGGGTAGGTATTACAGGAAAAACAAACGGCCCGAAATCCCGAAAATATGTTCCCTTCCAAGAATGGACTATTTTTGAGGGTTGAAACGTTTGAGTCCAACGCCACGCTCCTCCCAGTCCCAGCAGCTCCCCACGCTCCAAAGTCACCACACCACACCGCTACAACCTGACCACTTACCCAGGAAGGCAATAATGCAGTTTGTTTAAGGGTAGGGAATTGTGAAAAAAATTGGCCAGGGCAGCCTGCCAAGAAGAAAGCCCCGCTGTTCTCAGGTAAAGCCAGAAATGTCCAGAATCTCTGGATTGCTTCCTGTCCCAAACCACCAAATTCCTTATCAATCCCTTTACTAGAAGATGCACCCTGACAGATTTTCAAGGGGGTGGCACACGGAACCCCCAGGAAGGCAATAATGCAGTTTGTTTAAGGGTAGGGAATTGTGAAAAAAATTGGCCAGGGCAGCCTGCCAAGAAGAAAGCCCCGCTGTTCTCAGGTAAAGCCAGAAATGTCCAGAATCTCTGGATTGCTTCCTGTCCCAAACCACCAAATTCCTTATCAATCCCTTTACTAGAAGATGCACCCTGACAGATTTTCAAGGGGGTGGCACACGGAACCCCCAGGAAGGCAATAATGCAGTTTGTTTAAGGGTAGGGAATTGTGAAAAACATGCCAGGGCAGCCTGCCAAGAAGAAAGCCCCGCTGTTCTCAGGTAAAATTCTAAGCCGTAGTGAGTCAGCTCAAAGGAATACTGAATCAATACTAAACCAATTCTAAACAATACTTACTGGAAGACTACTCAGGCAGGTCCCAGTCTGACCCCCATTTTGTTTTTTGGGGTTTTCGCTATTGACCCTCCCCATTCGTTTGAGGGGGGGGCCCTTTACTCACTCTCCAACATCAAGCTGCCAAGTGAAGGACAAGGCATTGCCTCGCATGAGAGGGGCAGTTGGCTAGGCAATTGTTGTCGTCGAGACTTCTCGCAGCTGAAATGCAAGAAACGCAAACAAGCATCATGCAAACCAACAGCGCAGGCGCCAGGAAAGTGTCTGAGTCAGGAAGCACAAGCAGAGAGAAACATGGGCAGACAATTGGGGAGACAGGTAGGGCGACAAGCCATAACAAGGCTGAGTCAGTAAGCGCACGCAGGGAGACAAACGGGGAGGCAAGTGGGGAGGTGTGACAGAGTCCGGGTCAACAAACACAAGAAGGGAGACAAGTGGGACACAAGTGGGGAGACGAGCTGTGACAAGGCTCGAGTCAGCAAGCGTAGGCAGACAAGCGGGAGACAAGTCGCGACGCGGGAGCCAGTAAGCACAAACAGGGAGACGTCACCAAGCACACGCAGGGCAAGTGGGGAGACAAGTGGGAAGACAAGCCGCGACAAGGTCCGAGTGAGCAAGCGCAAACGGGGGAGACAAGTGGATAGGCAAGTGTGTCACAGGCCCGGTCAGCAGGCACAAGCAGAGAGACAAGTGGGGAGCCAGCATATAGAACCCCAACAGATCAGCTGTTTGGGGAAGTCGATGAGTCTGCTATGGCCTTTTCAAAGGCAATCCGCAAGATCCAGTTTCCTTTGTGGCTGTATCAGACTAGAATGGTGTTGCTTTTAGGTGTTCAAAGCTGTTTCCTCTCAACAACAGCTGCTGGGCCGGCGGTTCGGCCACGTGGTGGTTTAGCGCATGGTGTTTCTATTGAAGCAAGACCAGAAAGACTCCGTCTGGATACTCTGACGATTTTCCGGTGCGAAGTACCTTTGGTTTGCTTCCCCGGAGATTGATATTGCTCCCTACTAACCCGTGCTTTAAGGATTGAGATGCACCTCATCGCACATTCATGTGAGGATTGTTTGCAGGGCAAGCGGGATTGCCGACAGTTACGCTCAAGCAAAACAATCTCTGCCGATATACCAACCAACGTGCATGAGATTGTTGCGCATCAGAACCTTTGCATCAGTGCCACCATGCGTTTGTAAGGACACATGCCCCCGACAAACGCCAAAATGAAAGGCTGGGAAAATCGTTGGTTGTGTTGTCAGCGGAGTCAAGTGCAGGTGTTTGTTTAGCCTTTCCGGGGCGCGATTATCCTGCACTCATCGTTGGGTGCCGACTTGTGCAGCATGGGTATCTTGCTTTCGACGGGTAGAAGGGGTCCGTCAACTGAACATTAGGCGTCCAGGGCCTGAGAGGGGCTTGCAAGCTGTTTTTGTTCAATTGATCCCAAATCAACACCTCAACTTGGAAGCTGGACCATCCTTCGTCCGACGCATCTTGGCCCGCTCCAACATTTGCTTCACGTACAGTCAGCTTTCAAAAGGAGGGCGCAGATCGTATTTAGATGTAGAACTCTACTAACTACTGCATGACTGAAAGCAAGATGACGGCGCTATTATGCCTGGCAGATGAATTGGTGGCTGTTCCCCAAGTTTCTCGCTTCAGAGACACCCCGTACGTTTCCAGCGTTCTGTGGTCCTTGCTCCTACTCGCCCAATCGGCTTGCTCCAGGCGTCCCTCCAATGTCAGCTGTGGCAGCAACAACCCCTCCAACCACAGGCTACTTCCCGGGATGCAGATGGGACTGGGCAATAGATCACGTTTGTTACAAGATAGCCGCCCTTGCAAGCGTGGTGCAGCTTTTGCGGTGAATTGGGTGCACAGGCCTTGGCCAGACAAATTGAAGGGCTTGCAAGGCTTGACTGACGTTCTTTGACTTGTCAACTCGCCAGGGGCATGAACATGAATTGGCTTTGCAAGTACTGCCTAATTAGGGGAGGAATAAACACACACACACACACAAACACACGCAATGCGTTTATGAATACATTCCAACAATGAAACTCGGCAGGTTTTGGGGGGGGGGCGTTTGGGGTGGGGGGCGTCTGCGGGGATTCTGAAACGCAGTTTTTCTTCTGTATTCATAGGGCGTTTGCGGGGATTCCGGAATGCAGCTTTTCTTGTATTCATTTTTCATTTTATACAACAATGCTTCCAAGAGTTTTGCGTTGGGCCGATCTCGGACTCGCACAAGCAGGAGTGAGAAGGGTGCAGTTTTGGCCCTGCCAAAACAAACAAGGGGTAGGAAACGATTGAGTCCTGACCTTCTGGCGCCTGTTAGTCCATCGCTTGTGGACGTGCTTCGTGCGATCGTTGCTCCACGCTGAAATCGTTGAAGTGAGCCCCAATTGGCTTTGCAAGTACTGCCTAATTAGGGGAGGAATAAACACACACACACACACAAACACACGCAATGCGTTTATGAATACATTCCAACAATGAAACTCGGCAGGTTTTGGGGGGGGTGTTTGGGGTGGGGGGCGTTTGCGGGGATTCTGAAACGCAGTTTTTCTTCTGTATTCATGGGGCGTTTGCGGGGATTCCGGAATGCAGCTTTTCTTGTATTCATTTTTCATTTTATACAACAATGCTTCCAAGAGTTTTGCGTTGGGCCGATCTCGGACTCGCACAAGCAGGAGTGAGAAGGGTGCAGTTTTGGCCCTGCCAAAACAAACAAGGGGTAGGAAACGATTGAGTCCTGACCTTCTGGCGCCTGTTAGTCCATGGCTTGTTGACGTGCATCGTGCGATCGTTGCTCCACGCTGAAATCGTTGAAGTGAGCCCCAATGTGTCCAAATACTTTGGCTGGTCCTGAAGTGGATGCATTTTCTCATCGGAGACCCTTCAGCTGGCTTTGACAGCCGCCTTTAGCACCATGGGTTTATTCAAAGGCAATCTTGAATCCTTTCTCCAGACACAAAGGGGAATTTGCTTGGGTGTTTTCCAAGCGGGATCATAGAGTGTGTCAATCCTGTCCGAACAGCTCAGTGGCAGAACCCAATCTGCTACTGCTAATGATGCGTTGCACTCCCAATTCAGCTTTGCGCACGCATCCTGGCCCAATCCATGCTTCAGATATGGTCAGCTTTCAGAACACATGCCAGCAGTGAGAAGGGCTTGCTTTCGTGACAGGCGTTCTTACTTTACATTTGGCACTTTGCTAACTTCTGCATGGCTGAAAGCAAGATGACTTCAACCCGTGGCTATAATGCCTGGCAGATGAATTGGTGGAAGTTCCCCAAGTTTCTCGCTTCAGAGACACCCCGTACGTTTCCAGCGTTCTGCGGTCCTTGCTCCTACTCGCCCAATCGGCTTGCTCCAGGCGTCCCTCCAATGTCAGCTGTGGCAGCAACAACCCCTCCAACCACAGGCTACTTCCCGGGATGCAGATGGGACGGGGCAATAGATCACGTTTGTTACAAGATAGCCGCCCTTGCAAGCGTGGTGCAGCTTTTGCGGTGAATTGGGTGCACAGGCCTTGGCCAGACAAATTGAAGGGCTTGCAAGGCTTGACTGACGTTCTTTGACTTGTCAACTCGCCAGGGGCATGAACATGAATTGGCTTTGCAAGTACTGCCTAATTAGGGGAGGAATAAACACACACACACACACACAAACACACGCAATGCGTTTATGAATACATTCCAACAATGAAACTCGGCAGGTTTTGGGGGGGGTGTTTGGGGTGGGGGGCGTCTGCGGGGATTCTGAAACGCAGTTTTTCTTCTGTATTCATGGGGCGTTTGCGGGGATTCCGGAATGCAGCTTTTCTTGTATTCATTTTTCATTTTATACAACAATGCTTCCAAGAGTTTTGCGTTGGGCCGATCTCGGACTCGCACAAGCAGGAGTGAGAAGGGTGCAGTTTTGGCCCTGCCAAAACAAACAAGGGGTAGGAAACGATTGAGTCCTGACCTTCTGGCGCCTGTTAGTCCATGGCTTGTTGACGTGCATCGTGCGATCGTTGCTCCACGCTGAAATCGTTGAAGTGAGCCCCAATGTGTCCAAATACTTTGGCTGGTCCTGAAGTGGATGCATTTTCTCAAGGCAGACCCTTCAGCTGGCTTTGACAGCCGCCTTTAGCACCATGGGTTTATTCAAAGGCAATCTTGAATCCTTTCTCCAGACACAAAGGGGAATTTGCTTGTGTGTTTTCCAAGCGGGATCATAGAGTGTGTCAATCCTGTCCGAACAGCTCAGTGGCAGAACCCAATCTGCTACTGCTAATGATGCGTTGCACTCCCAATTCAGCTTTGCGCACGCATCCTGGCCCAATCCATGCTTCAGATATGGTCAGCTTTCAGAACACATGCCAGCAGTGAGAAGGGCTTGCTTTCGTGACAGGCGTTCTTACTTTAGATTTGGCACTGTGCTAACTTCTGCATGGCTGAAAGCAAGATGACTTCAACCCGTGGCTATTGTGCCTGGCAGATGAATTGGTGGCTGTTCCCCATGTTTTTCCACCTTTCTGTGGTCCTGCGTCCTACTCGCCCAAGCGGCTTGCTCCAGGCGTCCCTCCAATGTCAGCGGCGGCAGCAACAACCCCTCCAACCACAGGCTGCTTCCCGGGATGCAGATCCTGGGACGGAAGTGCGGCAATCTCTCGTGTGTGGACGCCTTCTAAAATGTGGAATTCTAAGCACAAAGGACCATGGCAGTTGTGGTTTCTTTTGTGCAAAAGACAGGGCAGATGCGACGGGATGCCGCAAATTGGTCTAACCGAGTCATTCTGTTCCACGTTTGAAGAAAATCTGCACTCAAAATGGATTAAGCCCCCGGTTGAGAAGTCAACTAATGCTCCACAAGGAGCCCATATGTTTGGATTTTTGTTGAGGTTCGCTCTGCTGTTGGTCCTGGGAAAAGGACGGTGCGCATCCCTTTTAAGGAGGGGTAGGAATCCATTAGTGCAGGTTCACTGTGGATCTCTTCCATCTGCAGGTAACAGTTCGCAGGCATTTCTTCGGACAGCCGCACCGAACGCCCGATGTCAGCGTCCGGTTGCATTGGCATCTCCTGTCACCCAAGGGAATCCCAGTTTCAAGGTCTGAACCACCGAAAACTCGTGAAATGGTTGCGATTTGGGGGTGTTGGGTGAGCCTGTTCGGCTTTCAGCTCTCCGACGTCGGTAAACCTTACGAGCCAAACGAGAAGAAAGCTGCGCCTTTTTCAGAGCCAAGTATCCTAGTTGGGTGATGCAACAGGGGCCCCAAGCCTAGGCTTACTTGAGGCGACACAAGCTTGCTTTCCCGGGCTGGGCAAATCTTTGTGTCAGAACTTTGCGCTTTGTCCAGATGAGGAGTTCTACGAGAGTCTGTTTCAGGCGCGGCCCAAACAATGTCCCGAAGCCCTGTTCAGGCCTTGTTGTCGGGATTGATGTGGCCCAGGAAGCCCATCTTCACCCAAAAAACCCTTTCGCGTACATGAACAGCCGGCTACCGTCAAGGACGGCCATGCACCTGGAAATGTCGTCAAAGCCGAGCAGTGATTTTAAGAGGAAGCCCGGAGAAAGTGTCCTGCAAGGGTCCCTGGCTTTGACGCCCAGCCACCTAAGGCACATATGAATAACCATTGGGAGCAACACCGCGCCGTGCTCCATATTTGCGGAGGGTTCCAGCTCCGCCCAGTTTACAGATATATGATGTATTTGAAGTCTGCGGGTTGCTTGGGGACAGCGCAAGTGGCTTTTTGTTAGCTTCACCCAGTGAAAAGATGCACAGTTCAGAGAAACATGGAGAGCACAGCTCGCAGAGAAAGGAAAGCTTATTTGTGAGGGGACTGTGACCTTGACAGATGGTGACCGGGTATATATATATATACATATGTGTACTATACATTTTTGTTTGGTATGTATAATTGTTCAGGCTACGATTGCGCGAAACAACGCCCCTCAAATTTAGCGGGAGGCTTTGGATGGCTGTTTGTTGTGGTTTGGCGTGGCAGGCGCCCATCCAACATCGTCAACGGCCACAGCAATCATCCCTCCAACAGGCCAGCGCCGACAGAAGCGGGAAAGGGGGCCGCTCGTTGTCGAAGTGGCAGCAACAGCAGCACTGGCAGTGGCAGTTGCTGAGAAAAGCGTGTCCAATGCGCATCGCATAGCCCGTTTGGAGGACGAAATCAGGTTTGGGCAAACTAGGTTTTAGCAACCGGACCCTGGTCCCTCTTTTTGGGGGAATCCAAAACGGAGGCTCGGGGTGCCAGGCCCTTCTCAAGGGCTCTTGGCTGCAACAAAATTTCAGGACACATGCAGCTGCATGATTTGGGGCGGGGGATCGGCCGCAAAACAGATGGGCAGGAGAGGAATAGTGCAACAAACTACATGCAAAAAAGCCTGGTCGTGGTTTGTGTCGCTTTTGTCTCAGCATTTCGAAGTTTGGATGTTCGTAGAAGTGCCCCATACCCCAAACCCGTACTCTTTCCTTGTCGTTCCTTGGCTTGTCTTGGTTTGCTTGCTCGCTCGCTTGCTTATTCTATTGGGCATGTTGGCGGACGGCAGACTTGATCGTGCTGTCATTACAGGCCAAGGGTGACAAAATGCATGAACGTGTTCCTTCGAAGTAAATCTAGTCAGTGTACAGGTAGAAATAATCGAATCCTCGTGCCTATCAAGACTGCCACAAAGAAGAAACACTGCCTGCATGTGTGCGCCTCGCTTTGTAGGTGAGCCTTGTGCCGGCCTTGCCACCTGCATGTCTCAAACTTGAAGCTCTCTTGGAACGGGACAGTGTGCCAGTGCTTCCAAACATGCGAGACAGGTGTCGTTTTGAGACGCAGATAACCTTATCCTCAGCTGTGCCTCTTTGGGCTGCACACAGGGGGGGAGGGAGTTTCCCCCAACTATGGTCATTATCTACCTGGTTATAAACTTGCCAAACTCCTGAGATCTGGGTTCAGGGGCACAGCAGTCTCACCTTGATGCTTGAAAATCCTTGGCTGACTGTGGCAGAGGCAGTGCTCCAAACATCGAGTTTTTGCCAGTCCGCATCGTATGAATCCACCATCCTTTTTTGAAAAGACTCCTCTGAGCTGATGTTTTACGTGGTTCCTTCCAAGCAGGATACCAGCTTTCACGTCGCAGGCCCAACTCCAAGCTGTCCGCCGGCAGGCGGGTATGTTTTGGGCTTCGGGTGCGCCAATGCGGGGGCCAGGGTGCTGCAAGTTGGGCGCAAGCTGTTCTTCAGCTGTTCACTCACTCAGAAATGGCTCGGATGGTGCCAGTGCCTACCTTTTAAAGGGTCCCTTACTGGGGAATGAAAACTGCGTTGGTAAGAAGGTGTTGGCCGCTAAGCAGCACGTCTGTGAGAGCGGTGCATGCCATAAACTTGGATCAACGGAAGACCGACACCTATGAGAATTGGCCACAATAAAAAATACTCGCGTTCACAAACTTCTAACACTACGGGTTGCTGGCAAGCGCTGGAAATACACAATGATGGGGTGGAATGTCATAGCTTGTGTGCTTGCGCATCGCAGGTTGTACGTAGTGGTCATTAGTGGTCACTTCCAAAAGCATGTTCTAAAGCACTCCACACAGTGCTCCGGAACTTTCAAAAGCCTCCAAAGAGTCGAGCTGTCTGCAAACTGTTGGTTTAGAGGTTACAACCATGACTGCCCTGCACCTTGCAAGCCTCGGCCTGCCTAGTCAGCGTCGACCTTCAAAGAATTCCGCCGACGCCGCTGCCAGCGTGGGACTCGGGCAAGCGAGCGCCGCACTCCTCTGCATTGGGTAAGTTTACGCCAGGTTTGCATATGCACAGAGGGAAGCTCTTGGGCCAGTGTTTTTGATGCAATCATGTTGGTCACAGGTTGGGATTTGTTGGTACCGTGATCAAGAGAATGCGGCAAAGAACGAGGTGTTGACTTGGCGGTCGGCACGCTTCGTTTTTTGTCCGAGGCTCATGCTTGCGGCAGTTGGCGCTGGAAGGCAAGTCGGAGGCCCGACGGATGTGGGCGGTTTGGTTGAAGCCAAAAGGAACCCATCTCAATTTGGGACTCCATATGGCGGGCGCCCTTTTTTGAGGGTGCCCTTTCTGGTTGTTCAAGGGGCATTAAAGGAAACCAAAACGACACCCATATATCCCATGATCAGTCGTAGCTTTGTGTCAGGGTTTGCTATGAGAAAAGGCGTTTTTTTGTTGGCATGGAGCGGCCCCAAAATCTTGACGAGCCCCACCACGGTGTCTTGTGACAGTCAGACACAGGGGCGGGGCTGCTTCTTTGTTCTCACTTGCCAAAAGCCCACCTTTTGACCTTGATTCTCCAGCTTTGGTCCACGTTAAGCTTTTACATGTGGGTCCTTTGGGCAACTGAGCTTTACCGACCAAATGGGTGAGTTTGGTAAGGCTATGGGGCCACTTGCTTCTCCACGAGTCTAATCTTGCCTTTTCACAAAGTGGAACAAGCTGCGTGGCGAAGCCCGGTGTCCGATACGTTTGCCTCGAAGGGTTGGCGTTCCGTCAAGGAACAAAGCCCGCCAGAAAAGCAGACCCCCTGCCAGCACCCAACACTTGCTTTTCAAAAGCAGCAGTTGGGGCGTGCCCAAAACCGGTTCGTTCGGAGTCTGGCTCCAAAGCCAGGGTGTGCCACAGGTCCGGAGCCGCTCGCCATCCGTGGATGTGCCGGGAGCGCAGAACACCGGGGCCTGACTGCGCGGTTCGACCTGTTCACCTGGTTGTCCAGTTGGCCGGTTCAAATGAAGGTTCGAGACCGCGTGGGTTTTTTGGGAGGTCGGGAGCAGATGAAGGATAGAAACCGTCCCCATGAATCAGTGCTGCTTTCCGCTAGTTTGATTGGACCGTTCTTTTGCCAGGTTTGATGATGACACAACATGGGAAGAAAGCAAGGCGTGCTGCACAACGGAAATGTCAAGAGGTTTAGCCAGTTTGGCCACCAATATTGCTGTTACCTTTTTCATTTGCCAACTTGCCCCAAGGAAATAGGGGGAGCGCAGGGGCGCCTTAGCCCATCTGTGGCAGACCTTGGCTCAATGAGCAAATTCATGCAGCTGTTCATGTCCGAAAAGGAGTGTTAACATGTCATCTTCCTCATTGAGCTCCAGCTTGTTGTGCGCAGTCGACTGAGGACTGAGGGTGCTTCAAATACTCCGCAAATTGACCTGGAAAAGGTGGCCACCAGCCCTGAGGGGAGTCTTCGAAAAACAAGGGCCCTGGGGGGGTCCAAACCCCGCGGAGCATGAGTTTCATGGGCTGAGAAAGGAACCAGATCTCAGCTCTGCAATAATTGCCAAGAATGCTGAAATATCCATCCGCGGGTCTCATGTTGGAAGTTATGCAGATTGCATGTCACGCGCTGTGTGGTTCTCAATGCGATGATTCGTAAATAGGAAGTCGCGTTGTTGGCTGCAAAAGCAGTGATTCGTTGCGAATGTATGAATGGACCTCCCGTCTCTACAAAAGTGTTGGAGACAGTACTCAGGTCTGAGGCGTGCCCAGTTTCAAGCCTAACATCGACCTTGTTTGGGTTTCTCCATGTGGGCCATGAGGCATCCACTGTGCCTTGTCCTATTTACTGGTCAAAGCCTTTGAGGCATCAGAGTGGGAAGTTCTAATCCTATTCCGACATCCCAGGGCAAGGTTTCCTCAACTTCCCTTGTTGGAACCTCCAAAAGTCTCAGTTTCACCTGTGAATTGCAGCTCAAGGGCAAATCCAGTTGACCCCCAGGGCTTGGAGCGTTCTTTCTGCTATGCATGGGTCGGACCTGTTTCCGTCAGGTCGAATGCGTCGAGCCATAGCCTTGAAGTCGCGCGCTCCGCTTTTCCATGAGGATGGCTTGGGACCAAAAGGGGTTGAAGTGCCTAGGTACAATAGCTAGGTCTCCCAGTAGTGCCCTTTTACCCTTTTTTGGGGGGAGGGTTCCCCTACTCAAATAGACTACAGAAGAAAGGGTACCCTTGTTCTCTCTGCTGAAGGACCTAGATAGATACCAAGGGACCCTCTGGGCTTTCTGGGGATGAGGGATTCGAAGTGGTGGCATGGTGAGGCGACCGGCGAAAAGCGAACAACACATGCATGCTAAGGGCTGACTTGAATCAGGATCCACTTCGACAACTCAGTTCCAATTCGTTCAGCTTGGTGCCCAGTTTTTGGCTCCAAAAGGATCCAAGAGGTTCACCTTCCATGAGACCAGCCTCAAAGACGCAACCACAAACGGGCCGCTTTGTGGGCTCCACTCTGGGCTTGCAGTTCGGGGGCCTTGGAGCACCTGCAGGTCATAATTTGTTATTACGCCATGCTCGGCAGCCATGCAACTGGCTTGAGTTCGAGTTTGGTCTCGGGCAAGGCGCCTCTGACATTCACAATCCCACCTGCGGAAAGAGAGGATCAAGTACAAGACAGGCCCAAATTGGGCACTAGGCAAGTGGTGAATGGCAGGGCTTCCCTTCCCTCATTCCGAGGATCAAGCCCTGCAGTTTCGCCGTGCCTGAGGAAGCGGCAGGACGCAGGAGGAGGCTTCGAACCTTGCGGCGAATAGGCGCGGAGTCGCAAAGTTCAGCCAGCGCAACCCCGTCACCATGTGCAACTGGGTCAACTGATGGCAAAGGGCTGGGTTTACGGGGCGAGCAAGCGAGGATTGACCATTTACCCATTTACCAATGAGCAAAGGAGCCAAGTAATATCTGATTCGGCTATTGGAAGCAGGATGCTGGCCCATGTTTTTCTGGGACTGCGATTGTGAAACTGCACGCCCAAAAGGTATTGGAATTGCTCGATTTTGAAATCGCTGCGTTCCGTTGCCCCCTCGCCATTTGAGGGCCTAGTGCATCGGTTGCCATGGGCGGAAACCCGAGCCAACATGTTCCCCTGGCCTTGCCCGAGTAGTTCTTTGTGTGAACATCTTGTGGAAACCTGGTTGCAAAGCTGAGAGCATTTGGACAAGGTGTTAGCTTGGAAGGTGGACGTAGGTGTCCCTGTCAGTTAGAGATGGCACCGTCAATGCGTTTCAATTCATTTGCTCCCAATGGGGTGCCTATTTCAGGCTGGCCATGCTCGGAGCTGGGCCGGCCACGCCGGGGGCCGAACGAACCTGCTTGACTCATTCCATTTTTTGACCCGACACTTCCCAGGGTCCTCAAAAAGCTAGTCAGCAGCTAGTCTCAGTCTACCTTGAGAGTCAAGAAATCGGAGTCTTGGGCTCATTTCTTTGGGGTGAGCAGTTTATATGTTTCCCTTGAACCTTAGGGAGCAGCTTTTATGGTGCAGTGGGACTGGTTGCATGAACTGGAGCTGGTCATTGGGTAATAATTGAAGGCACATCAAACGCTTGCTTCCCTCATTGAAGGGAACTTTGATCTGGCATTTCACCTCTTGAAAACTCGAGTTGCGGGCACTGGTAAGCATGGCATTTCTTCGAGGCACCTTCAAGACGAATTCCGTTGAGGATGTTTTGCCAAATGGACCCCGCCAATTGGCCTGGCAGTTTTCAGGGGCCAGTCAGCCAATGGGGTCCAGCTGTAACCCATTCAAAAGTCGCACTCGGGCAAAATGACAGTGGGGGGGGGGTCTGAACGGGCATCCGATGCTTTCCAAAACCAACTCCAGTTGAGAGGAACGCTGAAGATTCCTTCACTTGTCTATGGTAAGACCAGCCTAGGAAGTCCAAAGTTTTCCTGCCGGCATCATGCTCAGACTCCTGGACAGCCTGTGATTTTGGTCGGGGGCTTCAGTCACCTTCGGATCCGATAGGAAACTCGTTGGCAACAGATTCGCCACACACACACACACACAGACACTCCTCAAATGCACGTCGTTTCACATGCGTGCTTTGGGGAGTGTGATTTAAGCCCAAACGCTTGAAAAATAGATCGTCAGGTCCAGCCATTTCTCAATCTGTGCTCCTGAAGAGGCTGAAAATCGTTTGCCAGGCTATGTTTAGTGGAGCGTTCTTGGGGGGAATTCTCACATTGGGTATCCCTGTTCATCTCCCGTTGGTCTCCCTGTTTTCCTATCCATCCCCACGGATTGGTTTTCTCAGACGCAGCAAGTTCTCCAAGTGCCACGCGCGGCCGGGAAGTTCCGAGGCTTCCAATCCCGCACAGGAGTCGCTCCCCGGCGCCCAGGCGACGGGTTCATCCACCAAGCGATCACAGATGGTGCCCTCTTACCATCTTATCCCATGGCCATTGGAGGTCGCATTCGTTGCTCTTGTTAAGCCTTGGGGTTCCACACAAGTTTCATGGGATTTTCGAGCGTTACACAACTACTCCAAATGTATTGGATTCGTTGGGCGATGGAAGCCCCCCGACGTCGGTCGGCAGGCGGAGTATGTCTCGGATGAACGAGCTCGTAGCAGGATGGAGTTCTTAGGACTTTCCTGGATTAGCTCGCTCGAAGCAGAGTAGGTTACTCCCCGCCTGCAAAGTAAAGTGGAACTCGAAAAGGGGGTCCCAAAAAAAAGATTCCAGTACAAATTGTGGTGTTCTGACTTCCACAGTAGTCTGCAGGAGAGTAGCTTGAATGCATTTGAATCAGTCAAATCAGTTGTGAGTGAGTTGGATCCTCCAACATCATGCTCAATGGGATTAGATTGAATCGATTGCTTTTCCCTGGTCTGGAGATTCCTTTGTCTCGCAGTGGCTCGCGCACTGTGAATCAGTTTTTGGGAGTGGGCGGGAGCAGCATTCATTGAATTTTCTTTGATTTGGTTGAATATCTCATTGCCGGGGCACGATGGGACTTGGCACTCGTAAACAACAGCTCGTCGAATTGCAATTGTGGATTTAAAACATTTGGAAGAGCTCTTTGGCGGAGCCTAGACTGGTTTGGATGTGTTGTTACCTCGAGGGGCCGCCTAAGTTGCTTCCTTTGGTTATCCTCCATTCGAAACCCCAATGGGTACCCTCCGAGAAAGACGTGTGTTGGAGTGGTTTGCTCCAGCAGCCGATGGCCCTGGTCAGGGGTCCCCTACTTTAGAGAGCGGTTTGCTGGGGTCCCCTTAGTTTGAAACTGACTCGAAAGCTACAACCAACACCTGAAAAATTGCGGTATGGTGGACTCTGAAATTGCGCTAGGGATGGACTCATGAAGTGCCAAACCCATGAAAACATGCAGGTGATTTCCGCCGTTGGTCTTACTCAGTTAGATGAACCACTTTGCGTTACCTGAATCCTGCCTTGATTTGACGCCAGGAACATCGTCACCTGACGCATTTTACGAATGCATAGACTGAATTCCATGTTTTCAATTCGAAAGAGTCAGATTGTGTATGCTTAGATTTATAGGAATATCGATTGTTTTCAGTTATCTTTGAGGGCAATCAGTACAATGATATCCACCATACATGTGAAGATGTTCGATGTAGGTGATGCTATATATATATATATATTATTGCTCATACAATATGTCTATGTATACGTATATCTGCACATGTGTATGTGCATAGTTAAGGATATATATATATATGGACCATATATTGTGAGCAGCTGACAATATTACCACAGTCAACCAAAGTTCTGCAAAACCCAAACCCAGTACCCTGGTGATATTGTCCGTGGCTCATATCACGAAAGCTAGCTTTAGCTAGCTGAAGTTTCTCCTTGCGTAAGCAAGGTAAGGGGCTCAAATGCCGATTTTTTCAATTATTTGAGCCGAAAAGATTGAAAAACATCAATCATTTAGACCCCCCCCCCTCCCCCCCCCCCCCGGCTCTTCTCTCCCTCCCTGGTCCATTGTTGTCTCAGTCCAGGGCAGTGGCTCAGTGTTCAGCAGTCTCGGTTTGCCCGTTTTGGACTTGGTGCTACGAACTTTTACATGTTCCACCGATTCGTCTTCTCGGTAAACCACCTCGCAAGAATCTTTGCACACGCAGCATGCAGAACCCAGAGGTGCTTTGAGACAGCTTCTGACGCCTCTCGTTGTTCATTTTTCAAGGTTTGCCACGCCACCATGTGCGTTTGCGTGTCGCATCCTACGAATCTTGCCGGGCCTCTGGTTGTACACAAGCTACCTATGAATCCACTCTGTCACTGACCCATCTCATGCAACAACTGCTAGCTTTCGTTCACCCGCTCCTCAAGACATGCTGAGGGCATTTTTTTCTGATTCTATTCAAGTGAGCTGATTTTACAGTGCGTACAGCTTTTTGGAACGAATACATTGAGTAAATGTAAGTATGATGTATATGTATGATATTTCTGTGTGAATTCTGCATGTGGAATGATCTTAAGAAGCCAAATGTGCCCACGGAGTAGCCCGATGGCCGCGGCGATTCCTTTGTGCTCTCACTGGGCATCTTGTGGATGTGGGACTGCGACTCAGACGCCTGAGCCTCGAAGCCAGGCAGTTGCCTGCCACGTTGCTCATAGGCGCAGCGTTTGCGTGTTTGGCTTCAGCCCAGTTGCCCCTTTGAAAGATAAAGCCGCAAAAGTTGCATGACTGCTCCGCAAGTCCGCTGCTCAGAAAGCGGAACGGGTCAATCTCAGCCATGCGGGGTGAAACTTGGTTTGAATTTATCAATAGACTGGTCGGACAGCACAGCTCGAAGCAAAGATTAGACACATGGCAAAACCCGGAGAGACTACTTCCTGAATCACCAGCAACATATTTTTTTTGCCAGGGATCTAAGCCCAACCAATTGCCAGAAGGTGTAAGGATGCATCAGAACCGTTGATGTGACCAGTCTCACGTTAGCAGCTCTTTGGGAAACCTAGTCAGGAGCTGATTTCTTCATATCAACGGTATGGGGTTTCCAGTCGATTGAAAAGACCTCGTGTGCCACCAGCTCGGATGTCGCTGCCCGTGCCGCCATGTGATCCTCCCATCGGAGAAGCGACCGGGGCCCGGAGCCCAAATTGCCTAATGTCTTGGCGTGTGGCCATTGGTCAGTTGACTCACTGCGTTAGCAATCATTGATTGATTGATTGATTGATTGATTGATTGATTGATTGATTGATTGATTGATTGATTGATTGATTGATTGATTGATTGCCTTGCGATGTGGACCTCGTTAAATGCAAATACTTTTGGGCTGACACTGCACCATGCAATCCATATGTTAAAGCAGGTGTTCCTTTGTCTACACATGTTAGATTCAACTAAAAGAGTTGTGTGTTTTGCTTGGGCACCTTCGTCCGTTTTCTTAGTTGATTGCTACATTTGCAAGTTTGCTTGTGATGACAATGGATTATTTGCGTATGCAACGGATGCTTGCTGCGGGGATATGCAGGATGACGACATCCTTGCTTGGCCGGGAAAGCTAAACGTCTCTTTCGACGTTAAGCCTTTTGGTTATTCGGATTTGTTGGGGATGAAATAACCCCGTTTAATTCAACAAGTAAAAGTGGGCTGATCATTTGGGAGGAAAGTTTGTTTTTTGGGTTGGATAGGCTGAGAATAGAATGCGGGCATGATCCTTCCATCGCTCCCCGAGATTGCCATGTCAAGCATCTTCAAAACGTTGGACGGCATCCACACAGAAACCAGGGGGTTGATTTGCTGGTGAATCTTCAAGAGCCACAGCCCATGTTCGAATGGCACAGACTTTCTGAGGCCCGGTTCCGTGGTGTGCTCCACGGTTACGACTCCTCCACAACCCGGGCGCCCTTCGCCTACGGCGTCTCGGTGTAGTGCCAGGGTTGCCGGTTGTCGAGGAAGTGAACCCAACCAATGATTGCGGCAGCCACAAGTGTGAAACTTAGCAGGTCTTCCGTGTCCATTGGGCTCAAGCAAGGGGCCCCCTGCGAAGGATTTCGCTCTTCTTGTTTATTACAGGTCAATGGTGCAATCACTTTTGCTTTCCAAAAGGACCAGGTGTTTGGCTCTCCTTTTTTCGTTGATCTTTTCTCTGTCTTTGTTCATTCCGCTGGCGCAGATGATAAACGCGCTCACCGGCAATGTGCACCGCCCACCGGCCACCTCCGGCAAAGCAAAAACACTCAGTCAGGGCACCATGTGATTTTCACCCCGGATGATTGATCAACCTGGGTGTATGAACATATTAGAGATTATTGCTGCAGCAACGCAAGGGCCTGGGCCTGCCGTACAAAAAGCACGATTACTCAGAGATGCCATTCTTACATAGCTGAAGCTTCTTGTCAAAGAGGCATTAGTTGTTTGCATAGCTGGTCTGCAAAAGGTTGGGAGCTTTCTCTGAGGAAGAGTCTATGTATTGGCAAAAATGTTGGAGCTTGAGCATGAAGAGAAGTCCCAATTTGCCCGGAATATGTTGTGAACCCTGCTGTGTTTTTCTGCAACACCACCCTCATGCTCCTTGTGAGCATCGAAACGGCTTCAGACACTATCTGTGGTAAATCTGTGAGATGCCACTGCTACCTTGCCACAGCTTGGAAAAGAAAGGTCACCTCAAATGAATAGACCTGGGATGAAACCGTATTTGAGGCCAAACCCTGGCAGGATTGAACAACTTTGAAGCGTTGGAGTGACATGGCTATGGTTCTCACAAATGACTTGCGGATAAAATCCCAATGCGCGTAATGATGTCCACCCAAGGGTCTTCAATTAAAATTCGTTCAGATTTCAGAAATTTGGACACCATCTTAGGCTCTTCGCCCACAGGGGACTCAGCAAATCTCGGTTCTTTGCTTTTGGCTTAGAGGGGGCTCAAAGATGAGGCGCAAATTCCGAACTTCGATTCGTTGAGCAAAACTCATCCTGCAATCTTGGCTCTTGATTCCTGATGGAAGCGTGATGCGGGGATTTGCTTGTTTCGAACGACACAGGGAGTAGCATCTACATATATATATATATATATATATATATACATAGAGTATCTATATGTACAGACATATGTAACATCAGAGAAAACTAGAATCGCAGATATTCGACTTGTTCACTTGGTCTACTGAAGTGATGCAAGCCAGTCACAATCAGACCCTCTTCCAAAAGGGCTGCACTTCTGCCATCCGCTGTGTGGGGTCCATATCTTGAGCTACGCCAATTTCGCAGAACGTGGTTTTTGCTGTCCAAAGGTGTGAAGGATGGCTTTTGGGACGTGTGCAAGCCGGAGCTTCTTGTGCGCGTCCGGCATCTGAGGCCTGATCCGCTGGTGCCTCAGCTCCGCGAGCCGAGCTTTCGGTCGGTGCCCCAAGCGGCGCAGGCGGCGAGGACGGGGAGATGTACTTCTTCGCACGGGCGCAGGGGCCTGAGGATCCCAGAGTTGCACAGCCCACGCATTTGAGGGCGGTTTTGTCCAACCCGTCCTACGTGTTTCCCTTGGTGCAAGGAAGGTGTAGAGTGGGGGGGAGAGTTTTCCGGCGTTTGCTCTCTCAACTATCTTGCCCGGTTGAAGACACTTGCCACCAACATAAGAAGTCCCCATATGTCCCCATCAATCCCCCAGGATGTTGACTAGCAGGGGGGTTCACCCCAACAAAAAGTCAGCGAAACAGGGCGCCAGAGGACCTGAGACACGGTGCGCCTTCTTTGTGTTTCATTGGCAGGGCCTGAAAACGTGTATCAGTGCTAGATTGCCTATACAATCCAAAATGCTGCAAGGCAAATAGTTTCGCCACAGCCAAGAGTCACGGGCAGAGAAAAAAAGCAGTTTTCAGTTCAACTCCCAGATCTTGTCCATGGTTTGTGCACATGTTGAGGGTGCAGCTCATAACAGCTTGCCTGGGGCACAGATGCCAGAAAATACCCAAGCAAAATGGCATGTCTTTCTTTGCCAAAACCTTGCCCCAAAGCCAGAAAGTCGATAAGGTCATCCTTTTTCCACCAAGACCTCAGCCCCAACCAGGTGTCCGCTGTCCTTTCCATAAGGCACCTGGAGCGGGGTGTCATCGCAGAGCTCTTGCAGCCGGGGAGTCCTTTGGAGTTCAGCAGCCACGAGGCGTGCAGCTCGCTCCCGGTGAAGTGTTTGGGGAGTCCTTGGCGAAGCGAAACGGTCAACAGTTGCAAGGGGGCTTGCGGCTTGGCGTGCGGAGCTTTGACGTAGCTTCCGGGGTGCATCGCAGAGTGGTTGAAAGAGGGCCTGCAGTTGGGGCTGAAGATCGCCAAACTTTCAAAACGCAGAGTGCTTGGCGTTCGTTCACCAAGGTGAAAATTCGGCGAGTCTACAATAGGGGACCGGAACCCAGATGTGTTTGGTTTCAAGAGGGGTCCCCAGTTTAGGATACCCCCAAATGCGCTGCAAAGGACCAGACAATGGTACTGAAGAGGGGGGGCGCGATTTTTCTGCAAGAGGGTTCGGAATGAAGAACGCGGCCGTTCAC